GTTAAACAACCAGTCGAATAGAACTCATAACCGCATATCAACTCCCTTGATTATGAGATAGCATTTGACAGTGAATAGGAAAACCTTATAGAATGTCCTTCGACACTATGATGTACCTGAAAAGATCGTCACCATGATACAAATATCTTACGAGTCATGGATGGAGGACAGATCACTGATACCTTGAGTGAGGATCGGTGTTATACAGGGTTCCCTACATTCACTCTCTCTTCCTTCTGGTTGCTGATCGGATTATGAAGACCCCACCACCTCAGGAAAAGCACGGAATACAGTGAGAACCTTGGAGACAACTGAATAATTTGAACTTTGAAGATGACTTAGCCTTTCTGTTCTATACACAATAACAAATGTACACAAAGACTGACAGTATATTAATCGCTTCCGCTGTGGAAACAGCAGTGACATCTATCAGTGATTTAAACCACAGCGTTACAAAGAACCAATGGATTTCTTCAAGGTTTATTGCACTGATGAATTCTCGTAAACTCATCCCATCAGGCTCTGAACACGATGAAGAGCGACAACAAATCAGATCTAGGTTAACCAAAAGTCTAAGGAACGATCGTGAGCAGTGGTGGGCAACGAAAGCAAAAGAGATGGAAAAGGCGGCGACTATAGGGAACACAAGACAGTTTTACAGACTAATAAAAGAAACTGGAATTAATAATTCAAGTGTAAGTCAGACTATTTCGGAAAAAGACGACACCCTCATCTGCTCCCAGTCCAGACGTTTAGAACGATAGGCAGAACGTTTCAGATGACAGTTCAGCTGCCCTTCAGCTACTCTACAACTACCCTCCATTCCCAGACAGTGTGAATGGAACATTGAAGTAGGTCCCCTAACTCTAGCAGAAGTTCAGAAGGCTATAGTTAATCTGAAACGAGAAAGGGCAGCTGCTCCAGATGGATTGGCTCCAGAGGTCTTTAAGGATGGTGGTCCAATTTTAGCGAGTGGTTGACTAATATTTTTGCTAAGATCTGGGAGTTAGACGTTATTCCATCTGACTGGTCACAATCACTTATCGTCCCAATATATAAGAGAGGGTTAAAATCATCTTGTGACAACCATAGAGGGATTAGTTTAACTAATATAGTATCTACAATACTAGCCTCGATAATTATCAGACGCCTAACTAAGACTCGTGGACTGCAAACACGAGAGAATCAAGCTGGCTTCAGACCTGGTTGGTCGTGGCTGCATCGACCACATATTCACCATTCGTCAGGTTCTAGAACATAGGCATACTTATCAGCGGCCGACAATGGTGGTCTTTCTTGACTTAAAAGCAGCATTTGACTCGGTAGACCGCGAGATTCTGTGGCAGTGTCTGTCATTGAATTGCGTACCTCAGAAGTATATAAACCTTGTGAAGGCTCTTTATTCGAACGCTACCAGTCGAGTGAGAGCTTATGGCGAACTGTCATCTGCCATTGCAACCTCAAGTGGTGTCCGTCAAGGCTCTCAACTTTCTCCATTTTTGTTTAACTTCATCATAGACCTATTGATGGAAATAACATTCTCGTCTACTGAATTCTCGGGTATTGATCTCCTACCAGGAGGTCCACTTATCGACTTGGAATACTCAGATGATATAGTCCTGTTTGGTGAAGACGCTGATAAAATGCAGAGTCTTTTGGTAGCACTAAGCAACAATGCCAGAATGTTTGGAATGCGCTTCTCTCCCTCTAAATGCAATTTGTTGCTTCAGGACTGGTCTGCGTCAACATCTGAACTAAGGATAGGGAATGAAGTAGTCGCACGCGTTGACAACTTCACTTATCTTGGACGTCTCATCAGCCTCAATGGGTTGGTGTCTGACGAAATCTCAACACAGATTCAAAAAGCTCGTTTGGCTTTTGCCAAATTACGTCACCTATGGCGAAGGCGAGATATCTGTCTATCTATAAAAGGACGAGTATACTGCACGGCAGTGAGTTCTGTTTTAATTTACGGCAGCGAAACATGGCCATTAAGAGTAGAAGACACTGGTAAGCTATTAGTATTTGACCACAGATACCTTAGAAATATTGCTGACGTCTGCTGGGACCACCGGGTAAGTAATAGTGAGGTTAGACGCAGGGTATTAGGGAATGATGGTAAATCAGCTGATGAGGTTGTGAATCTTCATCGACTGAGATGGTTGGGCCACGTGTTACGTATGCCCGAACACCGATTACCACGACGTGTAATGCTATCCGGTGTTCGGGATGGTTGGAAGAAAGTTAGGAGCGGCCAAACCAAAACGTGGCATCAGTGTTTGAAGTCACTAACTTCTAGTCTGAGCCATGTTGGTAGATGCAGACTACTTGGTTGGGGTCCGCGTGACTATCGTAACCAATGATTGGAGACTCTTGGTGAAATAGCTAAGAATCGATCACAATGGCGTCGGTGTATACACTCTCTGTCTTCCCTTAAACTAAGAGATTAAAATCGCTTCATATCTTTCTTTCTACAAACTAATTCTTTCTTCCTGTACTATATCCTTATTGCAATCTTTCTTTTATATATTACCACCTCTGAATTAACTACTTTTATGAATCCGGTGTCCATCTTGTTGTGTTAATGGGGTATGGCAACTCGGACCGATGCATATATGTGCCTGGTCCTACGTTGTAGCTGACTGAGTGACTGACCAAATAACTAACTACATGAGTCCGGATTGTTATCATTTATGCTACTTTCTTGAAACCACTGCAATCATCACGCAACTGTTCATTCGACACAACAAGTCATGATTTCCTATCGAAACTTTAAAGATAATTTTGTTGCAGAATCGCGAACTAGTTGAAGCTAGACAACCTATATAAACCAAGAAGATCTAGACAACTATTTTGTCGAAGTACTGGAATACTTAGTCATGTAGATTCACAGCCTTGCCAGGTATTGAAACTAGGGACTTCAAGTGTCAAAGGGAGAGCTGAAGCTTAAGACTATTGAGTTGGTATCGACTTGTTTAGGTTTTAAATCCACTCGATTCACTATATTATTTCTGATTTTAAGGCTTAATATACATTTACTGTATCAATATTCAAGATACACAGAAAATTTTGAAAGGAATATGTGAGCAGATTTTATTAATTTAAAACTGATATAAAAAGAAACGTGGAGAAATTTTTTTCAAGGAAAACTTTGACAAAGTACTATAGTCATGATTATAACAATAAAATAATTGTTCAATCGTAAAAAACCTATCTATATTTTCTTATTATTTTCTAGTTTATTTTTGACCAAATTTAATAAGTAATCACTTGGTAAATTATTTGGTTTCTCTAGTAAAAGTTCACGCGTCAAATGAGCAACTGTCGAACTAATCATATTAATTGATAAATTCTTATTTAGTTCAACTTCTTTTATGACGTGATCCAGCATTGCAATAAGACGTGGACATAATTCATTGGCGATTGATACAGCTGGAGAGTCCTGTATACACACATTCACATACGCATGAACGTGTAGAAAAAATGAGAGATGATGAGAGAAGACAATTAAGACGAAGCAAATAAAAAAACATTTGACATAAATTTATGGTTTTATCTTAATCGTTTGATAATGATACATTATTTGTGTAAGGGAGTGTGAAGAGACAGATAAATTTTGTAGTTCACATCACATACTAACTTCATCTAGACAACTATTGAAAACCAGACGGCATTGGACAAATGTTCCAATCGTCTGAGATTCCTCATGGGTGTACGTCCGTAACCTTCTAAGTCTAAAAGCTAAGCGTTCGCCACGAGATATAAAAGTCATGCCTGAGATCCATAGTGGGATTGTGAATGAGTACTGATGAGAATTTCTATGGTAAGACGAAACATCTGTCCGATTCTGCTTCCTGATTTTCAATGATCATCTAACCAAGGTAATTTCATGATGTAAACGACGTAATGATAAACACATGTTTAATTCCGTTTGATACATACGTTAGAAAAAATCGTTTTAAAGACAGTAATTCTTTACAGCTTAAACATTCGACTGCAGAATTTTTGTGTTTACATAACTAAAATACTTTTTATCATTAATTGAGTTAACTATGCGTAACATTTTATTGAATGGATAAGCATATAAGCTTTAATTTACGCTGGTTGATCGCTAAGTATTGGCTGATGTCGCTCCCGTCTAGCACACAGTAATAATCATTCCAAAAGTACGTGGACACCAGCCTAAGGTTGTTAATATTACGTACACTAGGTAGTGTTATTGGCCGCTAGGGAGTTTGAAGCAATTAGTAGGAAGTCTTGAGTCCAAGTTTTGTGCTAAATAAGACGTTGACTATGCAAATGAGTAGCACAAGTTTGAACTCAAAGAACAGCAACAATCCTCTTAAGATCGCAAGCATAATTTCTTGACAAGTGACAATAAGAACAAAATCAAGGTCTAGATGTCCTCACCAATCGTCTCTCTAATCACTTGGCAAGCTTTGATATACTATGCAGCTGAAAAGTCATGAGAAATAATGACGATATTTTCTGACAGGATTTGTCACATACAGGTGAACACTGAATATTTGCATAATAACATAATTTTAATTGTGAAATAAAAAACCATAGATTCATGCATGTAATATGGATGGATTACTAAATCTGATCAGGTATCCCGCATCATCTGGAACAATAGAGTTGAAGAATGTTAAAACACAGCTAGATAACAACACAATATCAGTATGCTGGGTTTAAAAAAAAGTATAAAAAAAACAGTAAAACGATATTTAGGGTGACTATATTCAATTCAGCGAGTGAATCGCATGGAAAGTATTGAAAAACGTTTACTAGGTGATAATTGTTTTTATTCATCAGTACAACTGAGATAATGAAAGGACGAAACTACTTGTTAATATAGACACATCACATTTAAAATTTTCATGGTAGCTGTTTAAAAAGTTTTCTAAAGTATGAAAAAGAAATGAACAGACTAAAATCTTCATTTAGTACTAACATTTTACAAAACGTTTTAAAAAGAAAAAAGAAAATCAACTGCTTACATGAACAAAGTCTAGTTCATCTTCATATATGGTAGAGCATTTTTTATCTAATTTCAACCAAATTGATTCAAGCTCTTCATCTTTAGATGCTTGGTGTTCAGCTTGTTTAATTACTTCCATAGGTAGGCCTGCAAGACGAGCAACGTCTAGACCATAACTACGACTGCATACACCTAAATTAATAACACGAAGAAGTATGGTGGATTAGCGATAACGTAAGTACAAAATCTACGCTTGAGAGACAGATAATTACTAGATTGACAATTTAAAATGATTGGAATTCTTTCTAGTACCCTAGTTGCTGTCAGTCCATCCTTTAACCATTAGCTTCGGGTTTCTCCATCGTGATGGCCAAGACTTCACGTAAATCCCAAGTGACATTGCTGACAAGTACCAACGGTGAAGGAATATTAATCGTGAGTTTACTTTACTTCAGTATGAAGGATAGTGTGGTGTCGTCATTCAATCCTGTTTCTTAATTTTTAGCACTCATCACATTACTATGTTTGCAGTGAGAGAGAACTTTCCCCTCTAAAAGTTTGTGCTATGGTGCATAACATTTTGCACATTAATATCCACAGAAAATCAGCAAACCATCATATATATTTGTAATAAGGCAAAAAGATGAATTTTATCGAAACAACATACTTCAAAAATTTAGAAAACGAAACAGTTAAAAGTATAAGTCGGTGTTAAAATCAAATATTTTTCAAACCATAGCACTAATCTAATTAAAGTAATTGAATGATCGAAAATCGAGTAAGTTAACAACAACCATTATCGAAGAACTTACAGTGACATAACAAAATGTACCGTAAACTGACCAATTGACATTTAAGGTTTATGTAAAAAAATGGACATTTACATGTCACAAATATATGATCATGTTTCCATGATGAGAAAATCTGATGAACAAACAAGACAATGGAAATAGATAATCTAGGAAGGAATTATTTTAACCATTCACAGATTTTTTTTATAGTCAAACCAAACGATAGGAAAATACACTAAAACATTTTAAGTTATTAATCTGAAATTATTATCCAATTACTCAATCAATTTTACGATTACATACCTGGCTCAACTTTATACAACATGGTAACTTTTGTCTCAGACTCTTCATCTTCAACGATTCCCTTAGTGTTTGATACATTGCATAAAACTCGTAGATTAGCTACACGCTTGGGCATATAATTTGCTAAACTGGTTAATTCATGAAAATGTGTGGCAAATAAACCGAAACAACCAACTTCAGGACTAGCTAAAAATGAAGCGACTGCCCATGCTAGTCCAAATCCATCATACGTTGATGTGCCACGTCCTAATTCATCAATAATGACAAGCGAATTTGGCGTGACCGACTAATAATATGAGTTTTAAAAAAAATGCAATAAAAAATTATTTTATGACACCAGAAAATAATATAAACATTAATATTATTGAATATATTTCAATTGTATGAATATGTATAGAATGGAAAAAAGTGAATAATTCACAAGTCAGTCAGTTAGTCATTATAAACGTAGAGACTGGCGCAAAGATACATTACTATATCATATTACCACAAAACCACAAAACGTGACGTTTACACATGTCCAACATTGTAAAAAATAACAATTCAACAGCAAATATAAGTGTTTCTTACTGTTTGTTAAGGACTAACACTCAAATCACAGTCAGTCAGTCAGTAACAACGTAGAACTTCGTACGTACGTAAATCAGTTCGAGTTGCCACACCACATTAGCACAGAGATACAGTTGACGATTCAAATCCCGTAGTGGTAGAGGTAATAAGAGTATAAGCAGTAATCGGGAAGATTAGGGTTTGGAGATGTTATTTAAAGAGTATAATCCAGTGAAAGAAATTTGGAAAGAGGGAAAAAGGGACATGAAGAATTCAGAAGATTAGAGTTTAGGAGAACATAGAGAGTGGATGCACCTGCGCCATTGCAAACGATTTTCAGCCATGTCATTCAGGGTCTCTAACCATCGGTTGCTATCATCTCGCGGTCCCCAACCAGGTAGTCTACACCTACCAACACGACTCAGTCCACTTGTCAGTGACTTCATGGACTTGTGCCATGTTTTGGTTTGGCCGCCCCTAGCTTTCTTCCAACCTACTCCTATACCACTGAACATAGCACGTCGAGGCAGTCGGTCGTTGGGCATACGTAACACGTGTCCCAGCCATCTCAACTGATGAAGTTTCACTACTTCATCAATTGATTTGCCATCCTTACCTAGTACCCGTTTCCTAACAACTGTGTTACTTACTCGATGGTCCCATGATATACGAGCAATGTTTCGAAGACACCTATGATCAAATACTAGTAGCCTACGGATATCCTCTACTCTTACCGGCCATGTTTCACTCCCATAAAGTAGGACGGAACGAACTACTGCTCAGTAAACACGTCCTTTGGTTGATAGACGGATATCTCGCCTACGCCATAAATGACGCAAATTGGTAAAAGCTAGTCGAGCCTTCTGTATCCGTGCTGAGATTTCGTCACACACTAAACCACAAGGGCTGATGAGACTTCCAAGATAAGTGAAGCGGTCGACACGTTCAATTACTTCACTCCCTATCACTAGTTCGGGTGTCGATGTAACCCAATCCTGAAGCAACATTTTGCATTTCGAGGGAGAGAATCGCATCCCGAACATGCTTGCATTGTTGCTTAGAGTGGTCAGAAGACTCTGCATTTTGTCAGCGCCTTCACCAAATAAAACTATGTCATCTGCATATTCTAAGTCAACAAGTGAACCTCCCGGTAAAAGTTCAACCCCTGGAAATTTAGATGAGGAGAGTGTTATCTCTGAAAGTACGTCAATGACAAAGTTGAACAAGAATGGGGAGTGGACAGCCCTGACGAACACCACTTGAATTAATCAATTCTGATGACAGTTTGCCATAAGCTCTCACTCGACCAGTTGTGTTCGAGTAGAGAGCCTTTATAAGGTTAATGGACTTCTTTGGTACTAATTTCAGTGACAAACACTGCCATAGAACCTCACGATCAATAGATTCGAATGCCGCCTTAAGGTCGAGAAATACTACCATTGTGGGGCGTCTGAATGTGTGTCTATGTTCTAGGACCTGACGTAGTGTGAATATCTGATCTATACAATCACGTCCAGGTCGAAAACCGGCCTGGTTTCCTCTAGTCTGCTCTTCACGAGCTTTAGTAAGGCGTCGAAGTATTATTGAAGCTAATGTTTTAGACACTATATTAGTCAAACTGATTTCTCTGTGATTGTCACAAGAGGACTTTTGTCCTTTCTTATAGACTGGCACAATCAGTGATTGAGACCAGTCAGATGGGATTACGTCCAGTTCCTAAATTCTACCTAAGACCTCGGTTAATCTCATTGCTAATACTGGACCACCATCCTTAAAAATCTCAGGAGTAAACCTGTCAGGGCCTGCTGCTCTCCCTCGTTTCAGATTTCCTATGACTTTTTCAACTTCGTAAAGGGACGGAGGACCTACATTAACTTTCCATTCAGGTTGACTAGAGATCGTGGGAAACCGAAGTAATCACAGTACCATGTAACAGCCTCACGTGACACAAATACACAGTTTGAGAAGAAACAAACAATTTTATCCAAAGAAACTGAACATGTTATTTTTCATAAAACTTATCAAATGAAAGAATTTCTAACAAATGTCACAAATATCTTCAGTTTTATATCACGAACTGATTTCATTTATACCACCACGGCAGAGAAATGACATTTGGACGTGGTATGAGACTCCTCAGTAGTGCGAATTCACGGTCCCGCATCGAGGAGTCGAACCCAGGATCTCCAACTGACCATGTCGGGTGCAAGACAGTTGTCGACGGGAGACAATAGATGAGGGCTGTTTAATATCTCCAACTGACTGAAGTTAGCTATTAACACTATTGGATGCCGACCCAGTGGTCTAGGGAGTTAGGCGTTTCTGCACGAGACCGAAGGTGCTTACAGGTCCATCTAGCTAAGGTCAGTTCGTGATGTAGATCTATGAAAATTCTACAATCTCCCTATTTTCTTTCCATAGTGTTTGTAGGAAATAAATTGTGTCAAATTATTCTCCTGCTAATGATAATATGTAGTATGTAGCCAGTGAAAAGCAGCTCATTTGTCCATGAAAACAGTTCAGTCAGCTATTACATGTGTATACCACGTGCTACTCATTTCATTTACTAATTTATCTATGAATTATTTATTATAACTTGGAAAATATATTGACATTGCTAATTCAACAAGTGTCTTTCTTTTGTCTTAAATGTCAGTTTTCATTAAAAATGTTAGTAATAAGTGTTAGGAAAAATTACATTCAGTGTAGGTTGTTAGTTACAGACAAGAATTGAGTGTGATAGGGTAGTAGTTGGTGATAAGAAGATGACTTATCGTATATTAAATAATTTTACTTTGTTGTTGTGTTTGCACGTAGTCGGCAGTAAGTTTTTAATAATAATAATAATAATAATAATAATAATAATAATAATAATAATAATAATAATAATAATAATAATAATAATATGCGATTTTTATTCGTTGTGATTCGACAATTACACAGAAAACATTAAAATTCCTCCATCCGATTAACATCCCTTCTCATTGAAAAATACGATGACAATCCAAATAATTAATTAATTGATGTATAGACAATAAAAAAATGTAAGTTTAGTGAAAAACGAAATCTACCATTGATGGTATCATCACCAATGTTTGACTTGATAATTTCGAAAAAATTGAGCATTGGGTAGATTGTCATGAAAAATTAATATATTTGCAATATCCTAACGAATAGAAAAATTAGATTTTCCGACGTTTCGTGACTCAGTGTAAGCCACTTCTTCAGGGAATAAATAACCAAATCCAATTTAATCCAAGTTTGTATAATACAAAGGAACGCAAGAATATTATACGCGACCAATCAAAAAACAGGTCTGAACAAGTCAATGTCATGTCATTTCAGTCAAGGTGATTTAAAAGCGACATTTACGTAAATTTGTGCGTGTGTGTACGTATGCAAGGTCAGGGATGAAAAATTGTGACCTTTGTGGTGCGAGAGGATGGAGCTTAGTTTGTATGTACGATAATAGTGTGAAATGTAAGTAATATCAGACATGGTAGCTGGAATAGATAGTCCAAGTCGGATGTATAGTGAGATCTTCCTCCTTTCTTTGTAGTTAGAAAAACCTTTTTGTAATATTTTGATGTTTTTGAAATCGATTTGATTGTTGTTGAAAATGGTGTGAACAGCTATTGCCGATGTAACTTGAAGTTTATCCAGATCGACGGGATTACTATGTGGTTTCTTTTTGTACATAAAATATTCTTTGGTTTGAGTCAAGATCTCGCACATGATATTCTTGTGTTGTTCCTTTGTATTATTTAAACATGGATTAATTTTGATTTGGTTATTTATTCTCTGAAGAAGTGGCTTACATTGAGTCACAAAATCTAATTTTTCTACTCATTGGAATATTACAAATATATTAACTAAGTCATTGTCATTTATTTACATTAATCGAAATTTGCAAGGACTGAATTATTACAGTACATTAAACACATGTGAGATGATGAAGTGGTGTCCGCAACGGCTGCTATTTTTATAATTCTGTTATATCAGAACCAGGATTGAAGGAATGGTAACTGATAGAAAAAGTTTATAAACTGTTATTACTACATGTAGTCTTATTACATAAGTGTTACGTAACTAGGTTACTATGTCTATATATTCCATTTATTATAAAATTCCGATTAACCCATAGAATATTATCACATGATTTATTGTTAATATTTCTATTATCTATTACTCATAGTCTTCCCTAATCATAGCTACAATTGGCTTATTCATATATAATTGTCACTTTTCATTTTATAGCGTGGTATATCTATATATAATCTACATCTGTTCGAAACATATGGTGGAGGCTTGTCGATGACTTGAACTGAAGGGCACGACATATAGAGGAGCTAGCGAATAGTGAACTAATAGGAACTTAGCTATTGACTCAAGGTTAATAGTGTTGATCGGATGTGTAATTGACCAAGCCAGAGACAAGTTATCGAGTAAGTAGTTGACGCAAAACGGACCAAATTAGAATCAGGGTTCTGAATAGTAATTTGTCACGTGATTTTGGTCAGAGGTGTTCAAGATATAATATATTCCTTCAGTTAAAAATCGAAGATAACAACAAATAGAGTTAGCGAACATAAACACTCAAAAACAAAGGCGCTAGAGCGAATTGATTTAACGCTTTTGCAACAACTAACTGATAGTGTTATCGAGGAAAATAATTGAAAATCCATAATTAAATTATTTAGTTTGAAGAACTCAACACTAAAAGGATCCACCTGATTTGAACATTATCTCTCTATCATCTATAATTATTGAACTGAACAACTGAGAGGTTGGATATCGATGAACTGTATTTTTAAAGCGTTGATATGTGCATACATAGTATATGTAAAAATAAATATACTAACTCGTAAAACAGCTGAAGTTTCAAGCATTTCTGCTAAAAATGTAGAAACACCACGACATTGATAATCAGCCGCACCAACACGTGCCATGATAGCATCGACTGGCATAATTTCTGCGTATGAACACGGAACAAAGCTGCCAATTTGGGCCATAGCAACAATAACGGCAACCTGAAAATTAATTGACATTCAGCGAGGGGCAAGTAGGTAGGTTATTGAGAATTACCATTATTATTGTTTTGTTTGTATTACTTTACATTGCAGATTGATCACAGTCAAACAATCATTGAAAACTAAAAGACACTGAATATCCGTCTCACACTAGTACGGGACTCCGCTTGTGTATATATGATGAGACTATTATTATACGATTTACTATTCTTGAGTTATACCCAGTCAATTCCACATTCACAGCTAAATCTTGTACAAATGTTGTTTCCTACTTCATGGTACGATATTGTCTGTCTCGTTTGCATGTAAACCGAGTATGTTTGAAATACACGATTCATATAGCGGAGGCTGAGATTGGTGTTCTGGACTTAACAGGCAGGGCTAGGCAGGAAGCAGGACCAATAAGGACTTTAGACTACTCGTACGGGTTTTATGTCTCGTTGGTCTGGTCGATAAATCATTGGCGGTATCATTACATTATACATTAATAGGACACAGGGCACAAGTTATAACAAGGGCACCGGTTCTAAAGAAAGACAAGAATTCATCTATATCATTGCGATCGATTTTGAGCAATATCATCCAAAGTCTCAAACAATTGGTCGCACAGGCCATAACATAGGCAGTCTACACTTATTAAAATGGCTGTCCAATTGTCAATGATTTCACAGATTGAAAGTCATAACCACTTTAGTCGATAAAGATTCACTACCTCATCAACCGACTTCCCAACCAACAGAGCGTAACGCCGCATTACGGCCAAGGAACACAACTATAGCCAGACGTCGGTAGTTATATCTATGATCTAGAACCTGACAAAGAGCAAATGTTTGGTTTATACAACAACATATAGGTCTAAAACCAGTCGAGTTGTGCTTTTCACGAGCCCTAGTAAGTAATCGGATTATTAATGGAGCTAATATTTTAGATGGTATATTAGTCAAATAATTCCTTTGTGACAGTCACAAGAGGACTTTTGTCCTTTCTTATAAGCTGTGACAATTAGTGTTCGAGAGAAGTTTACACAATGAACCATAATATAATTACCATTAAACTCCCAGTTAAAAATACTGTAGGGTTTAAAAAAGCAAAATGACATGATACACTCCAACAGACATAAGTAAACATAACAAGAAAAATTAAGTTAATATCAAATGACATGACGAGTCCAATCTTCACTGTACCAGATGGACTATCAAGTTATCTACAAATAAACATATATATACACATACTATGAGCTCCCCTAAGTTTTGATAACGATAATGATGAGCATGTCACGTGTTCTCGTCAGTCTCTCTCTCGCGGACACATATACACACAAGCTTTATTCTACCATAGAATGGAAAATACGAAATTGTTATTTGGTCTTTTCTTTTTATAACTTACACTATGTATAAAAGTTGACTTGCCACCCATATTCGGACCAGTAATAATTAGGAATATTTGTTTACCTATAAAATTTCAATGAATAAATTGGAGAAAACAACAATTGTGTGCGTTATGAGGTGGAAAGTATTTGCTAGAATTGAAAGAAAGGTCGAAAACAAATCACATTTGGTCAATATATGTACATATACTATATATAAGGGAAAAAATAGAATTTAAATGTAAGAACGTTCGGCTAATTATTAAAATGGTTGATCTGTAGTAAAAAATTCAGAATATGTAGAAACAAAAACTTATTCGAAACGCAATTTACCACGTTCAAGATGTACATCATTTGGAATAACACTGACTCGATCTTGCATTTCCAAACATGGATGACGTGCTCCTTTTAAAATAATATGACCATTATCTTTAGAGAGAATTTTCGGACGAATATACGATACGCCTGAAGACGAGATAGCTGCGATAGAAAGGCTAACAATAACATCTAAGAACGCAGTGGTTGCATTCAATTGATTAATAGGCTCTAAATAAGTAGCTATATACATTTAATAAAAAAGAAAATAACACATACATTAGATGAAATATGTACGGCGAAGCTGATAATTTGAATATAATAATGAAATTATTACAATGACAAAGAATTTCTGTAATTTGGGAGATGTAGTGTTCATTGAACAGGGATGATCTAATCATAGTATTTTTTATTGTCTTTTCAGGCAAAATTGTAATCAACACAAATTTGCAAAAGAATAAAACCTTTGGAATATGTGCTCAATATGATACAACTCAATAATAATTAGTTATTAGGGTAAAAAAGCCCAGCTCAACCCAATACACATTATGTAAATAGAAAGGAACCATTTAATTGTAAACTCTCAAAGTAAGAAATGGTTCAGAACTTAACAATCTCAAGTATTCAAGTCCAGAGTTATTTGTTTTCTGTTGTGAACGTAGTTATTTGGTTTCCTGGTTGAATTTTAATGCCGAAAGTAGAAGACGGTGTTTTTTGTACAAACATGTTTTAATAGAAATATCTATTTTGATAGTTTGTCTCGACCAACTGTTGTTTTCATGCCGTTGTGCTCATTTTAAAACGGTTTTGTTTTCAAAATTCGATGGTTTAGTGATAAAGTCCTCATGATCTTTATAGAGAACAACATAATTCAGAAGTCAGATATTAGAATTTCTCAACAACTGACAAACAACTTAATCTGTTTACCTGGAATTCAATTGGTTGCTGCACATTATTGTGTGATCTCTATTTACAGATTTCATTTAATTTTTTCCCTTGAGTGACTGCCTTGACGTCGGATAATGGTTGATGTAGAAGTAGGTTGGAAGAAAGCTGGTATGGCCAAATCAAGACGTGACGTCAGTCCGTGAAGACAATTACTACTCGACTGAGCTATTCAGGCACATACGCACTATCTGGCTGGAATCCACTTGATTATACTAACCAATGTTTACAGATTTTGAATGGCATAGCTAGAAACAGTTCACAATGGCGCAGCGTATTCACTCTTTAAAAATTCCTCTTTATATATTTCAATAGTTTATAATTTTTTCTCAAATTGTAACTGCGTGTTTAATCTTTGATATTACCATTATTACTTTTACTACTTCTGCTACTCTGTGATATATCCTGAGAATTTCATTTCGTTCTGTTGGTGAGGAGTGGGAAGTAGAATCGATGTAAATATATGCCACATTTTACGTTGAGTTCGACTGACTGACAGAACTCGTAGCTATAAATCGGGACAGCTTATTTGTTTTTACGGCATGTATCGATGACATTGTGTAGAAAAAAAATTCCCGATTAGATCAACCAGCTCGGACAACAAAACACCTCTAAAAACTATTATCTAATCAATATGTGACAAAACTTTCGAAAGAATAAAATCAAACTGAATAGCTATGAAGCAACAGAAATAATTCAATAAATTACTTCATGAATTATTATGACTTAACGTAGAATCAAAGTGTAGGAAATAATATTTATTATTACTATAAACTGATATATTAACAGAGTTAACGGCCTCAAATGATTTATTTATTCGAGATAACATTGGGTATGAGAATAATCTAAAAAATGATGTAATGCTGGAAAGAAGTAGAAAAGTTAGAAGGGTAACGAAAATTTTGTCCAATCTACAATTTCTAATCCGTGATGATAATACTGTGTGTAATTATTTTAAGTGCAGAATGGAGTGGTGTGATATTGAAATCAATGCATATATATATATATATATATATATATATATATATATTACTAATAGCGATGTATTGGAACAAACATTGAAGAAATGTTTAGTTCCAGAACTAATTTCTGAATTATTACTAATATTCTTATTGTATAATTAACGAATAGCTGGATTACTATATTCATATACTGAGTTTATCTTTAGCTTCTATTTACCCGTTAACTATTACCATACTAATTATTAACCTTCAGTTATTCCCAATAAATCGTGTGCGGCTTTCCCCACTCACAGACATTTTGGGTATGTTTGTAAATAAACTCAGAAGTGCTTAAAATATAATGTGAGAGAGGCTGACTTTTGACTTCGTTTTGGACTCAAGGCAAAAAATAGAGACAACCTTACGGATAGCGAACCATTAGGGGTTAACCTTAAATGGGTTCAAGGCTAACTGTGCGGATCAGAAATGTAACTGTCCAAGTCTATGAATTTAAGCTATATATGAAATATTAGGGACTAGATAAAGAGAAAAATATTCGGAGTTTCCAATAGTGAATTTAACAGGTGATATTTAAGAAAGTCTTAAGACACATGACAAGTAGTCGTAAAAAAGTAGTTACCTGCGGCACAAACAACTTGATGTACAACCACTTCTTGTAATCCATTATATTCTTGTTTCACTTCAGCATAAGTTTCATTTAATGAAGTCATTTGGTTATTCCGAAAACGTACACCACCTTTTTGTGTGTCCAAAATTTCAAATGTTTCAAATCCTCTTAAACATTTCTCATCCTTTTATTGTCATGATTATTTGTTGTTACAGTTGGAGAAAGAAAAAGAAAACAGAAAATACAAAGGAGTGAACAAAAATGAAAATGGATAAACATTAATGAGACATGACATTCTGCACGAATCAATACATAATCTTTAAAAAAAACACATAGTTCTTTCAGGGTAAATATCAGGATATTTCTTTACGGGTTGTGGGAATTGGAGTTGAGTGGATGACAAAATGCATTATATATGAGTTATTCGAATCAGAGTACCGACAACAGAATCTTATGTAATAAACGACACATAGATGTAGAATACACAATAAACCTATGGTGAATTTCAATAATCTGTTTTTCAGCTGAAGAGATTTAGTGAAGATCCTTTTCCGTTTGTCATAGATTGATCACAGTTGAGGTGACTTGAGATGTCTTATGAGTGTCATCCTTCTCACCTTCATATTATATAATAATTCCTGACGCTAAAATAAAATAGAAAAGACATGTTTTAACAAGCTTTATTATAAAATATAGCTGTATAAGACAGGCAAATATTGGTCCATCCTCGCTTCCTGGTTGACATCCTAGGGAAAGTGCATACAACTCAGTGGCTTCAAATGTTATTAGACATGGTTCAGAAAAGATCATCATATTTGTACCAATCCTGATGTAATTTTTTTACATTCACAATTGATTAATCACTGGGTGGTGATCAATGTCATCTTGTCTAGTCCTCATTAGTGCAGATCGAATGCTATCGATCATGTCGCAATGTGGCCACCAGTCTAGGTGACTCGACACTGCGGGCAGTATGTATTGAGATCTAGATGGTGGCTGGAGGTAGTCAACAGGAAACCCTGGACCCGGGTTTCGTGCTACTTGGCACTCGTCAGCAAGGTGTACCTGTAATCTTGCGGGAACTGGTGCTCCCTGGCGGATTCGATCTCGTGTCACCCAGCTTCACAGTCAGAGACGTTACCACTGAGCTATCCGAGCCGTGACTAACCTCCTGTAGGACTGAGATGTAATCACAATTGATTGATCACTGGGTGGTGATCAATGTCATGCTTGTCTAGTCCTTATTAGTGCAGGACCAATATCCATTATCATACAATTGATTTACCCACTCTCCTACCTCCCTCTATTGTGGCGTATATGTATTTCAGTGTCTACTTGTACCAGTATTTACGCATTTTAAATAAGTTAAGGATGGTGAAGAGGACAGATTACACTTATAATTCATTTCACTATTTAAATAAGGGCATTTCAATAATGGAGAAAATTAAATCGAAAGACAAAGCATTTCAACAATTTGATGAATACTGTCATAATTCAACTGTGTTATGCCATAGTAAGAGTTGCAGTCATCATTAGGCAAAAAGGATAAACTCATTTTATATTACTTTCAATATTTAAAAAAACTTATTTAAACGAAAAGCTTAACGATTATAATGAAATGAATCTAAACACTTGTTGAAAGTCCGTCAAAAATAGGAGAATGTATACAAAATTTACTGCATATAATCAATGAATAACCACAAATCTATGCACTAGTCTCGAGATATAAAATTCAATTGTCTAAATTTAAGCGAGAGGAGTAACGGTACAAAACGTTTAGATAATTGATAATTGAAAACTAACTATTCACATAGGAAATAAAACAATATGAAAATGCGTGTGTGCGGCGAAAGGCGAACTGCACGAACACTACTTCGCATATGTATGCACTGATTTACCTTGAGTGTGACACGCATAAAATATCCATGTAGCTCATTGCTTTCCAACTTGATAGATTTATTCTGTTCCAAGTTCAGCTTTTTTGCACACTGTAAAGGAAATTGTTAAACATACTTATCAGAAGGGGTTTTGTGGTGACAATAATGAGACAAATAGTAACTGATTTACATACAACTGGTGAAAATCATGAAATAGAGATATTAAATCAATTGCAAATGTGGAAAAAAAACAAGGATATATCTCCTGTAAGTAGTTTCTGTTTGGTTTAAGTATGGCTTATATTTGCAACAATCAATCGGACATTCAGATTTCCTCAAGGTTTCTGATTTTTATAATTATTGTTGCACTGTTTGCGATTGAAAATGAGTGAAAGTACATAACATTCTTTATAACTGACTGATCATTGAGTAGTGACCGATGTAACATGCACTAGGCTGATATATGGTGTTGAATAAAGGTAGTTGACAGGAACTCTAGACTTCATCAGATCAACACTAAGGAATTGATATACATCTTGATGGTCACTGCTTAGTGATAAACTGATTGTAAATCTACCTTCGTCCTACAGAAAGTCAGTCACAGCCAGAATTACTCAGTGGTAACGTTTGTGATTTTAATGCTGAATGACGCCTTGTCCAGTCCGTTACGAGGCACCAGTTCTCTCAAGATTACAGGTACAACTGTCAAATAGCACTATTTGTCGGGCAATGGAGGTGGTTACATCGTTACATTAAATTACGCATGCTTCAGTGGGTGGTCTGCCTAACCAGCGCGCCCCAAGTACCTCCTTTGTTATTTGTCATTGCCCCAAAATACCCTGGTACAGCTTAGGGTAGAGAAACGTAACTCAAAGGCATAAATCAGTCAGTCAGCTACAACGTAGGACCAGGCACATATATGCATCGGTCCGAGTTGCCATACCCCATTAACACAACAAGATGGACACCGGATTCATAAAAGTAGTTAATTCAGAGGTGGTAATATATAAAAGAAAGATTGCAATAAGGATATAGTACAGGAAGAAAGAATTAGTTTGGCAAAAGCCAAACGAGCTTTTTGAATCTGTGTTGAGATTTCGTCAGACACCAACCCATTGAGGCTGATGAGACGTCCAAGATAAGTGAAGTTGTCAACGCGTGCGACTACTTCATTCCCTATCCTTAGTTCAGATGTTGACGCAGACCAGTCCTGAAGCAACAAATTGCATTTAGAGGGAGAGAAGCGCATTCCAAACATTCTGGCATTGTTGCTTAGTGCTACCAAAAGACTCTGCATTTTATCAGCGTCTTCACCAAACAGGACTATATCATCTGAGTATTCCAAGTCGATAAGTGGACCTCCTGGTAGGAGATCAATACCCGAGAATTCAGTAGACGAGAATGTTATTTCCATCAATTCAGTCAGTCAGTAACAACGTAGAACTTCGTACGTACGTACATCAGTTCGAGTTGCCACACCACATTAGCACAGAGATGCAGTGGTCGATTCAAATCCCGTAGTGGTACAGGTAGCAAGAGTATAAGCAGTAATCGGGAAGATTAGGGTTTGGAGATGTTATTTAAAGAGTATAATCCAGTGAAAGAAATTTGGAAAGAGGGAAAAAGGGACATGAAGAATTCAGAAGATTAGAGTTTAGGAGAACATAGAGAGTGGATGCACCTGCGCCATTGCGAACGATTTTCAGCCATGTCATTCAGGGTCTCTAACCATCGGTTGCTGTCATCTCGCGGTCCCCAACCAGGTAGTCTACACCTACCAACATGACTCAGTTCACTTGTCAGTGACTTCATGGACTTGAGCCATGTTTTGGTTTGGCCGCCAATAGGCCATCAATAGGTCTATGATGAAGTTAAACAAAAATGGAGAAAGTTGAGAGCCTTGACGGACACCACTTGAGGTTGCAAAGGCAGATGACAGTTCGCCATAAGCTCTCACTCGACTGGTAGCGTTCGAATAAAGAGCCTTCACAAGGTTTATATACTTCTGAGGTACGCAATTCAATGACAGACACTGCCACAGAATCTCGCGGTCTACCGAGTCAAATGCTGCTTTTAAGTCAAGAAAGACCACCATTGTCGGCCGCTGATAAGTATGCCTATGTTCTAGAACCTGACGAATGGTGAATATGTGGTCGATGCAGCCACGACCAACCAGGTCTGAAGCCAGCTTGATTCTCTCGTGTTTGCAGTCCACGAGTCTTAGTTAGGCGTCTGATAATTATCGAGGCTAGTATTGTAGATACTATATTAGTTAAACTAATCCCTCTATGGTTGTCACAAGATGATTTTAACCCTCTCTTATATATTGGGACGATAAGTGATTGTGACCAGTCAGATGGAATAACGTCTAACTCCCAGATCTTAGCAAAAATATTAGTCAACCACTCGCTAAAATTGGACCACCATCCTTAAAGACCTCTGGAGCCAATCCATCTGGAGCAGCTGCCCTTTCTCGTTTCAGATTAACTATAGCCTTCTGAACTTCTGCTAGAGTTAGGGGACCTACTTCAATGTTCCATTCACACTGTCTGGGAATGGAGGGTAGTTGTAGAGTAGCTGAAGGGCAGCTGAACTGTCATCTGAAACGTTCTGCCTATCGTTCTAAACGTCTGGACTGGGAGCAGATGAGGGTGTCGTCTTTTTCCGAAATAGTCTGACTTACACTTGAATTATTAATTCCAGTTTCTTTTATTAGTCTGTAAAACTGTCTTGTGTTCCCTATAGTCGCCGCCTTTTCCATCTCTTTTGCTTTCGTTGCCCACCACTGCTCACGATCGTTCCTTAGACTTTTGGTTAACCTAGATCTGATTTGTTGTCGCTCTTCATCGTGTTCAGAGCCTGATGGGATGAGTTTACGAGAATTCATCAGTGCAATAAACCTTGAAGAAATCCATTGGTTCTTTGTAACGCTGTGGTTTAAATCACTGATAGATGTCACTGCTGTTTCCACAGCGGAAGCGATTAATATACTGTCAGTCTTTGTGTACATTTGTTATTGTGTATAGAACAGAAAGGCTAAGTCATCTTCAAAGTTCAAATTATTCAGTTGTCTCCAAGGTTCTCACTGTATTCCGTGCTTTTCCTGAGGTGGTGGGGTCTTCATAATCCGATCAGCAACCAGAAGGAAGAGAGAGTGAATGTAGGGAACCCTGTATAACACCGATCCTCACTCAAGGTATCAGTGATCTGTCCTCCATCCATGACTCGTAAGATATTTGTATCATGGTGACGATCTTTTCAGGTACATCATAGTGTCGAAGGACATTCTATAAGGTTTTCCTATTCACTGTCAAATGCTATCTCATAATCAAGGGAGTTGATATGCGGTTATGAGTTCTATTCGACTGGTTGTTTAACATTGATCTGCAGTGTCGCGATTGGGTCAGTATATGATTAGTCGTAATGGAATCCAGCTTGTTGATCTTAAAGCCGTACTCACTGAATCTTTTATTTGTTTCAGCAATAATGTTATGTCCCGATAAGCATAATGAATGGTAACTTTTGGGATCCATTTATGGACCAATACTATGCGTGTATTTTTGCCGTATAATAGTTAAATGACCAAACTATACATATGCGTGTCCCTCTTATTATGTTCCGCCCATCGTCCTAAACGTCTGGACTACTGAGCTATTCCAGCCGCGACTGCCCACCCGTACGACTGAGATAGTAAACAGTGTCATGCTTGTTTAATATACATATTGTAAGTCGTCTAAACCAGTGGTACATTAGAACTCAATCGCGACAACTGGGTAAGAAAATTTCTACCTTGGTCATTTAGTCAGTCAAACGCAACGTAAAAACTGGTACGTGTTCAAGCTGCTATACCACATTAGCACAGCTAGTTGAGATTATTAGTGCAAATCCCAGAGTAGTGAAGATTGTAACAGTAATATGAAGTATTAGGGATTCAAGATACCATTCGGAAAAATAAAAACCTACTAACTACTACTACTACTACTACTACTACTACTACTACTACCAATAATAATAATAATAATAATAATAATAATAATAATAATAATAATAATACTTTAGTATTTTTTATTGTCTTAATTTCTAGAACATACGGAAAGAGAAATAAACGAGAACATCGATAATATATATTGAAATAAGTTATTACAAGCAAAAGAATGAAATGAGAAGATTGAAAATAACAATATACTCTAAGCTGGATGGTGTGCTCATGGAGCTTCATTGTTCTTTCAAACAACATCACCAGTACAAAGTTAGGGTAGATATGAAGTGTAGTTGTTGAACAATGAAAGATCCACGACCGAACCATCGAGCTCATAGAAAAAACTCCACCTAAATAATCCACCTGAGCTACAAATCTTCTCCATCTTAATCACAATATCCCCTCTAAAATGACTTAACGGAATAGAAAATAGCAAATTTCTGCTTTCTTGTGATCGAAAATAGACTGCATTAGCTGTATTTCACTCAACACAGATTTCTAGCATGTTTTGGATGTTATCCATGACTTAAGAAAATTCTAAGCTGTATGTAAAGGAATTACATTCTTTTAGATGGTATCGATTAGAAAACAACATTTATGTATACGATGTGGTTCTAGAAAAATCAAGACAAAATATTGTAAAAAAAAGATGAAATCTAATCAGTTAGAACCTGGAATACATAGTGTATTTAATTTACCATGCAGCATAAATAATCCTAGTCTGCTGAAATTATCAAGATTGATATGAATGTAGTCGAAGGAATGGAAATAGCATCGATGGTAGTAGAAAGCGCTAACTACAGACAATGTAATTTGATAAGAATGGATGAATTTCAGCAGTAAAAATTATACAGTTTTATAACTCGACAGGTGACGGAAGAAAATGAGTAAATACATCTGCATTGATATAGTTGATTCTGAGTTACGTCATCCCTCGTCTACAACCATTAATTAAATCAACCAAACTGACACCAACTAGGTAGTTTGCATCTACCATACCAACATGACTCAGACGAATAATCAATGACTTCATGAACTGATGTAATATGTTGGTTTGGCTCCCCTGGTTTTCTTCCAACCTAGACCTAATACAACTAGATTTTTGTTCAACATTAATTCTGTTTTAATTCAATGTGATGATTACTCAGTATAGTATTTGTTTTGCTTTCCCGTATGACATTTTATTCTATATAAAATACGATATCCTTGTATTAAGTTAACATGAACTAAACTCAGTATATTTGTTATAACTAAGTATTTATCATCGTGTTTTAATTTTGATATATGTGATTTTATTGTAATTCCAATTATTAATCAAAGTGGATGTATAAACCAATGTATAAGTGAGTGCATTTCCAACTAGACTCGTTGTGGTTGTTCGTGCTTCTGGCTGCTAGTTGAATATAAATCTCTCTTTCGAATCTGGACATCTCTCTCGAGTTAGTGAGGCTGAGACGCGAAGGAATCGGTAACTTACCTGTCATTGTATCACAGTCTTCGTTCCCTTCTCAAAATAGTTGAACTCGTGATCACTTCAAACATAATACATGAATTCGTATACACACACCAACCAATTAAATTCCGTATAGTTTTATCCTGTAGCCAATTTGATAACAGCATAAATATTGAATCGAATGATCTTATTCGCAGAGAACAGTGAGATGTTTAAACAAAACACATAGGTACAGTCAACAATCTTCCGTAGTCATTTAAAATAATATCGACTACCTAGTAAGAACCCGGATGAAAGACGCAGTAGACACCTAACTTCGAGATCAACAGGCTGGATTCCGTAAAGATCGGTCATGCACAGACACTACGGATCATCGTAGAACAATCAGTTGAGTGGAACTCGTCACTGTTCATCAACTTCATTAGTTATGAAGAAGTGTTTGACAGTGTAGATAGGAGAACATTATGGAAACTTCTCTGACATTAAGGAGTTCCTGAGAAGATTGTCAACATGATTCGGAACTCATACGACGGACTTCAGTGCAACGTCGTGCATGGAGGACAGCTGACAGACGCATTCGAAGTAAGGACCGGAGTTAGACAAGGTTGTCTACTCTCTCCGTTCCTCTCTCTTCTGGTGGTCGACCGGATTATGAAGACCACGACATCTGAGGGAAAACACGGCATACAATGGACAACTCAGAACCAATTAGACGATTTGGACTTCACAGATGACCTAGCTCTCCTATCCCATGCACACGGACAAATGCAGATAAAGACAGCCAGTGTAGCAGCAGTCTCTCCATCAGTAAGCCTCAACATACACAAGGGGAAAACCAAGGTCCTCGAATTCAAAACAGGGAACAGCAATCCAATCACTCTTGATGGCGAAACTCTGGAAGATGTAGAATCCTTCACATACCTGGGAAGCATCATCGATGAGCAAGGAGGATCAGATGCAGACGTAAAGGCGAGGATCGGCAAAGCAAGGGTCGCATTCCTATAGTTGAAGAACATACGAAACTCAAAACAACTGTCAATCAATATCAAAGTCAGGATCTTCAATACGAACGTCAAGGCAGTTCTACTGTACGGAGCTGAAACTTGGAGAACTACTACAACCATCATCAAGAAGGTACAAATATTTATAAATACTTGTCTACGAAAGATACTCAATGTCCATTGGCCGGATACCATCAGAAACAACCTACTACTGTGGGAGAGAACAAACCAGCTTCCAGCTGAAGAGGAAATTCAGAAAAGACGATGGAAATGGATAGGACATATGTTACGCGAATCATCAAACTGCATCATGAGGCAAGCCCTGACTTGGAATCCTGAAATTAAGCGGAGAAAAGAGGAAGGCCAAAGAACACATTACGTTGGGAAATGGAATCTGATATGAAAAGAATTGCTCAGGCCAGGGGTTGGATGAAGAATGCTGGTGAGCGGCCTATGCTCCTTCACGAGGAGTAACAGGTGTAAGTAGGTAAGTAACCTAGTAGGGACGGTATTTTAGATGTTAATAAGTAGAAAAAAACATGTTTACGACAGCTTAACAGCAACAAACTAATTATTATTAGTATGGGGATTTGGAGACATTAATAATAATAGCAATAATAATGATCATAGTAGTAGTACTAATGATAACAATAATAATAGTAGCAGTAATAATAGCGGTAATAATAATAGCAATAATAATAATAATAATAATAATATTAATAATAATGATGCTGATAATAATGGTCATAATAATATTAATAATGATAATAGTAATAATGATAGTGGTATTAATAGCCGTAATAACAATAGTAATAATAATGATGGTAATAATAATAACGGTAAGAGCTTTAAATAAAACTTTACAGATTAAAAATAAGTCAAATATTAAACCACTTCATTTAATAGTGATTGTTAAGTCGACCGACCGATATATTATTCATGAAAATACCATTAAATTATCATCCTCTAATGGGACAAACACTGATTATATGAATAATGAATAAGCGATAATGGGTATCATAACTTAAACTAGTAGTCCCTGTATTGATTATTGCAGACTCACATAAAGAAATAGAATGAGTTTTGATCTTAGGAGAAATGACAGGAAATATCTTGTAGTCAACATTTCTCAGAAAAACATGAGTTATTAGGATGAAATCTCCCCCAAGATTATTGATTTTTAGCTCGATAAAAACGAGTCATAAGAAATAAATTTTATCGTAAATACTATGATTGAAAAAGTTGTTTTAAGTACACAATTCGGCCTACAATTCTACCTGATAACAAGAGCCTTAAAATCAATAGGTGAGATCATAATCTTAAAGTCAATTGCCTATAGTAGTATTGGTCAAAATTAACACGCTATAGGCAAGAAGGATTGACTGAGTTACTAAGTATAAATATACTGAATTACTTTTGAGCTATACCTTATTTGTGTGACGGCTCGCGATACAACCTGATTGAAACAACAGACCGTACTGATTTGAAAACACCTGTGATTAATTAGATCGAACCTATGTACATGTTTTCTATCTAGAGTAGACATATTTTAAAATAAAAAACTAGGGCAAGGAGTTGCTGAGCAATATCCTCGTCCTCTGATAGATAGATAACCCGTCTTGTATGTAGCACAGGTAGTACAAGTCGAGCGACCTCTTTGATATTCATGAAGAGATTTCCTTAACCCAACACAAAAATACGTCTTCAAGATAACTAAAAAAGGTAATATAGATTATATATGTAAAGCAAAATACTCAATTGAATTACATGCGATAGATTTTGTTACGGCTTTGGATTTCATTTAGGCAAAATTGCTTGCTTATAAAAAAGCAAAGGAGATAGAAATATGTCAGTCAAAAAACTAGATTTTTGTGGTAAATAATTCGATTCAACAACCTAATCTAGATGGGATGCACCATAAAACCACAAAACGATATTGAACACAGACAATATTTACTTAAGAAAACATCCTGAGCTGAAACCCCAGCAGATTTGGAATGGTAGAGATTTTCAGTTCAAGTGAATACTTTTATCGTTTTTGAGCTTTATGAGCTAGACAGTATAATTGCAATGGCTTTTTAGACATTCTGAGCAACATTATCACGACTTAATTTATGTAGAAGTGTTTTCCAGAAGAAAAACAACATATGTACACATATATGTGAACCTTAACAGCCAGAACTGGTTCCTTCAATCGAAAAATTATTTCGATTAAAAAGGTTTAGTGTGTTCTGTTATTTTTGAAAAAAGGTAAGTGGAGAAAAGACTGGAGCTTGAAAAGAAACCCCCAGTGAAAATTAGGAATCTAACCATTCGTTCAGGTTCAGTTTTGAATACTCTATGGGAATCATTAAACTAGGAATAGAATAATCGATGAATATGTATGCAACAGTCAATAGGTTAATCAGTTTTAATCAAAGTAAAAACCTGATGAATATTGTGCATCGATTCATATTTCCATAGGAAATTAGCAAACCAAAGTGAAATTATCAATGTGAATACCAAAGTAGCAGTATCAATGTGATTATAAAAAAATGAGACATAGGAAATGAGATTCAAAAAGGAAGAATGAGTAGATAATCATAAACACAAACTCCAAAGTGTGAACTAATTAAATGTAAAGTTGGAACTAGAGTACGGATAGACAGCTTAACGTAATATATATATATATATATATATATATATATATATATATATATATATATATATATCCGCCCGCAATACACAACAATCCACTGTTTTAAAAAATATCGTCCTGTTTGACATTTATTCACAAAAAAATACCTTAATAATAAGTATGCATATATATATATATATATATATATCAATAATTGTAACAATAAATACAAGAAATAACTATAAATTGGTACTTACACGTCTAAATTCATCCCGAATTCTTTCCTCCAAATTGTCTAATTTATTCCTTATTTCTAATTATGTATGTGAAATAATAATAATAATGATATTATTAATAATAATAATTATTATTATCATTATCATAATTATAACTATAATAATATGGTAAAAAACAATGATTTACGCATAGTAGATTTGCAATGCCAAAACAAGTCATGCTAGATGTAAACTAGAATAAGAGATAGAATAATTAGTAAGTACAAAAAAACCAAGCAAATTTTTTATGATTAAGAGCTTTTGAAACGAAAGAGAATAATTTTTAATTTATTACCTTTAAAAAGTAATAATAATATCTACAAGGCGGATCGAACTATTAAAAATTTTGGAAGAAAATTAATACGCAAGATAGTTTGTCCGACGTTGAGATATGCTTTATTTTGAGTGTGACAGCTAAAGATATTGAGCTGTAAAAGAAAATATAAGCGAAGGATAGGAAAATGCATTTTCAATAGAAGGTCTATTTCTTGATTGAGGAAATCAGTTTTACAATAGTCATAAAGAACAATCAAAAACAGTGATCCATGTGACACTAACCTTGTAGCAACGGATCTTTATCAGCACGAATAATGAACTCATTTCGTTGGTTAACATAGTCCAAATCTATGTTGGATTCCACTAGATCTTTAAACAGAGTAAAGTTATCCATGGCTTTCTAAGGAGAGCAGACAGAAAAATATATATAAAAAGCAATTCATTTATCATGTTTACTGACACGTAAATTCATGATAGATATTACTTTTAAACACTTCACGGATGTCTTAAGTTTAAAACCATTGTGAATATAGCTGATCAAATGTCGAGGGATTTTTGATTAATGACAGCAGCTATGATTTTAGTTAGTCCCCATTTTTGGTACTTGTATCTGAAGAGATAAAAACACTGAAATTTTATTCTTAGTTTTGATCCACATTTATATAAATGTGGTTTGGTTCCAGTTATGATCTCATAAAGCTGTTTGTTTTTGCTTATTTAAGCTGAATTCTCGCACACAATTAAACCACAAGACTTGATCTATTTCCTGCGATCTGAAAAAGAAAACTCAAATGGCTCTTTGCTCTACGAGAAAGGTAATCTGTTTTTGAATGCTATTCAGTCAGATGCTACTATTATACCCACCGGAAAGCAAAGATAATTAGATTATTGTGGATTTTAATCACAATCTGTACTTGAAATTCATTTGTTTTACTGGTGTACCTACTTTTAGAAATTTTCTATGCAAAGCAGTTGGCTTTGTTTGGCATTTCATGCTATCGAATCAATATTATAATAAGGCTACAACTTTTCCGTTTGTTGTCTACCTAATCCTTTCTATTATTACTGGTATTGTTAAACTTTCTAACAATCTGGGATTTATCTTGATAATTTCATTTCGCTATGCTAGTGTAGTGTGACAACTTACACCGATTCACATATGTGACAGGTCCTACATTGAGTATGACTGACTGACTGTAAACAAACCTAAAATAATCGCTTCTCGTATACCTATGTGGATGTATTTTGTAGTAATGTCTCGTAACAAGTTTTCAGTTGAGTTTTGGTTTTTACATTATTATTGAAACTCATGTTAATTATTTTCTGTTCATGAAGCGGTGTCATAGAATGATCATGTAATCAGTAAAATACCCTGAGGCCTGCAATATATATGGTATAGTTTCAAGGGTTTCTAACATAAATATATACAACTTGTAGAAACTTTCAGATCTTACCAGTAGCCCGAAATTCGACGTCGTTAATACGTGTCAGTCATAGTGAACAAAGAGCTTGGCACATATGATGCTTAAACAACCAGTTAGAAATAATCAACAAAGAGACAGACAAAAATGTATGTCAACGAAAGCTGCTTGATAAGGGTGAACTCAGAAAAATAGATATCAACATAGAGCCCGGCTCAAACAGGAGTTGGTCTAAGTTGTCATATCACGTTAGGTCGACGAAATGAAATTAACAAGATGTACGTCAGAGAAACCGAAATAATGTAGCAGCAACCATAATAAGAAAGAATAAACATTAGGAAGGTGGTTCGAAAAGTTGATGGGAAGGTATGTATGGAGGGATATTGGAAACACTGATCTATAGAGGTAGCATGTGAATGTATGCGCGCCACTGAGAGTCGTGGTAATCGGCGTTCATGCATACGTGAAACGCCATAATCTCTGACTAGACTGTTAATGATCGAGTAAAGAGCCCTCACAAATTTTATGCACTTCTGAGGTACTTCTTTCAATGACAGACAGTGCCACAAAACTTTTCAGTCTACATAGTCACCTGCTACGGGTACTGTCTCAGCGTTTAGCTTTTTGAAGAATTAGCATATTGGAGCGAATACAGAGACGATGAAAAGTTGACAATCTGTGTTCCGATTTTTCCGAGTTCTTTCGGAGCCATTTAACCGAACTGAGCATAGGTGACTGTTAACGGTGATCCACCCTTATAGTGCTTGTTCTGCCCTCGTACACAGTGCAATGCCTCCACCCGCCAGTCTACAAAAAAGAGCCATCAGATCGCTAGATAAACGAGTGTATCTTGTCGGCTCTCCGTTTTGTCGAGGTTAAATCAATTGAATGACTACGCTAGAATCCGGAGACGGATATTCGTGGGATAAGGCAAGGTGTGCATTTTTAGGGTCGAACCTTTCTAAATCCACCCCTGCTTGTGGGAAGGCAGCATCCCTATTATTCTAATTGTCTGAAGAAAACACCTAACCGCTGTCACACCTCTGTACAGTTAGCAGTACGACTTCTCCCTCGAACCTTTGGTTTGTTGCTTTTAGTCCTATCGCTCTTTAACCGACCTGTCTGGTATAGTAGGACCTTGAGGAAGGATTGTTCCAGCCAGTATAGCTCAATTGCTTTATTATGATAGGCAAACCCGACCACCATGTAAAGGTAGAAGCAACGGTAGGGAGATTTCAGTATAGTGATAATAGTAATTAAATTGGATAAATTCCAAATCTAGTATCAAAGACGAATCGGAGATCTTAATATAGTGATAAGTTTATTTTCATATTTATTAATCAACGTTCGATATGATAGTCTAAGTTTAAAGTATATGGCACAGTATTTTTGATTGTCTAGGTGATATACAAATCACATAGGCTATAAATAAACTATGTATAACTAGGAACAAGTGAATGACTACATAAAAAGAATGATAATTCCTATAGTTATTGTTAGTTATTAAACAATGTGATTACAATCTAGTGTTTTCAGACTCCATTTAAGTAGAAACAGAGTAGAAATTTACTGCGTTCAAAGTTTTTCTTTTCAATTGCATACCACATTTTGATGCAATTCGAAACATATATTTATACACAACTAGCAGAGTTATTTGTCCAGTAAGAGTTATGTTCAGATTCGGTCATACTCCAATTTCAGATTTATACATAGATAAATTGTAACAAATTTATTTTTATTCTCCCTATTAGAAAAATTTAGATAACAGATTATGAAAGTTTATGTTCTCAACCACTCAAAGTTGTGAAATTCGATAAAGTATAAATATTGGAAACATTGATTATGATTCGTAATGCGACTGAATGAGCGATGTTGAGGCTAGACACAAACTATTAGGCAGAGAAAGTAGTGTTGAGGATGCTAGATTCTCAGAACTCGCTTAATAAATGTCTTGTTTTTGTAATTTTATTTTGGATATTTGAATTTCTTATTTTCACCTTCATATCCTACTTCCTATTCGGTTTGTAGTCCCTTTTAATATGATATTTCATGATGTTTTCCATGGACATTTCTACGCTGTATATATACGCTTAAGTTGTGCTTGTTGATATTGCTGATGCTTTTGGCTGCTTGTGGAATATATTTCCCTTCTCCTGAACCTGGACCCCACTCTCTAGTTAGCGGAAGCTGGGACGCATCAGAATAGCTAGTTTCTCTGGTCACTGTGTCGCTGAATCTCCGTTTCCTTTTGCGGATTTAGGTGAGCTCGTAATCCCTTCAAACATAGCAGGCAGATTAATTGATTAGGTATTAGATCTTCATCAACTGAGGTGATGAATGTATTACTGATGTCGAACAACAGCCTACTTCGATATTTGGTGGTATAGGAACTAGTTGAAAAAATATGGAGAGCAAAAGCATATAACTGGAACTAGTCATTGACTGTTGGTCTGAGCCACGTTGGCAAGGGTAGACTACTTGATAGCGATTAGATTGATAATCACGATAGCTTATTGGAAATATTGTGTGCTGTGGAAGATACGTTTACTCTTTTTTTGTAAATCTTGATTTGCAGTATTTCTTCAAGAATAGCTTTTCATTGTCTTTTTGAACAGTACTCTTGATGTTCAATATTTTACATTACCATTGAAACTAACATTAATTCGATTTAATTTGCTATTCTTTTTAATTTCATCACGTCGTGTTGATGCGATAAGATCGCTTAAAATGATTTTAACAATATTTTAAAAACGTTTCACGGTGCATTTTTCAGCATGCCTGGATATTCATCATGTATGAATGGAAACTGTGATGAAATAGTAACACACCATCGATATAATAAATTTGAAAAAAAAACACAACAAATATTCATAAATAGATATAAATACTTAAAACATTTTTATCCAATCTATGTGAAATAAACAACAGATTGTAAACATAAATATTAATTCACATGAATATAAAGATGCTATTTTTGTGCATATTTTCAAAAAAAACCTTTCTGTTCAACGGACAATAGTAAACATTTTGAAATATTATTGTTAGTAATAATAACGATGATAATAGTAACAATGAAAAATGAAAAGTATTCTGTGGAAAGAAACAGGTCATATATTGTTTTTTTTGTTTACACAATGCAGGTTAAGGGAATTAAGACATAATCTGCTTACAAAAACAGTAAAGCTAAATTTGTTGTATATCTGATAAAACCATCTGTTAATGCGCAATAAAGGAAAAATGTTAGCGTAGTGCACAACTTTCCACATCCATATTTATGATACATACAAAAATCACACTGATTACAAATGAAGCTAGGGAGAGAAGTTTCGTCAGATTTACAACTCTATAGCTGGAAACTGAGAATAGATAAATCAATGTTGATATAACCGGAAAAGATTAAATTGTGGGTAACTACTGGGGACTATTTATAGACTGTTAAATAACTCGATTATGCTTATAATCTTTTTATCATAAGCTTTTATGTGACCTATTAACTACTATTATACGATTTAATATTCCTAAGTTATTCCCAATATGTTAATGTCTCTCACAATCACAGCCACTTTTTGGCTTGTTCTCGTATAATTGTTATTTCTTATTTTATGGTGTGGTCTGGTTTACTTGTATATAAACCAAGTATGTCCGAACCAAATGATTCATACAGTGGAAGCTGAGATTTATGATTTGGAACCTAACAAAAAGGCTAGGTGTGAAGAACTAAAATTGGCACTAGGTTGCTCAAACTGGTTAACACGTCCTTGGTTTGACACAGTCGGTGTTTTGATTGGTGATCTTAACATGTGATAATTAACAATGGACAAAAATCATTGCTCGAATCTCGACTCCACAGTGATCTTGAGTGCTGTTAGAGGTATGAGGGCAGTCATCACTTCACAGTTGCCCACATTGTAGAAGGGTTCTTCTAGAGGCACCTGAAAAATAAATTTGGGTAAGTAGTGGATTTAGTGACCTGAGAGTGTGACCGCAGTCTCCAAGAGACAACTGCTTGAGCTCGGTTACAGATGATCTTTTTATGATTAATTTCCGTTTAAGCTCCGTAATTGCTGGGATAAGGTGTGCATTTTTAGGGTCGAACCTTTCTAAATCCACCCCTGCTTGTGGGAAGGCAGCATCCCTATTATTCTAATTGTCTGAAGAAAACACCTAACCGCTGTCACACCTCTGTACAGTTAGCAGTACGACTTCTCCCTCGAACCTTTGGTTTGTTGCTTTTAGTCCTATCGCTCTTTAACCGACCTGTCTGGTATAGTAGGACCTTGAGGAAGGATTGTTCCAGCCAGTATAGCTCAATTGCTTTATTATGATAGGCAAACCCGACCACCATGTATAGGTAGAAGCAACGGATCATAGTTGAACAATCAATAGAATAGAAGTACTCACCGTACATCAACTTAGTTCATTATGAGAAAGCGTTTGACAGTGTGGATAGGTGAAATATATGGTATCGTCTCCTACACTGCGGCGTATCTAAAATTATCAATAACATAATACGGAATGATACGACGAACTACACTGCTCGAATTTAACAGCATGGATATTGCTATTTTTCGGGGGTTTTAATCTAGTTCCTACGATTGCAGTGCCGTGCTTTAAATTTAGCAAGCGTTGGCAATGCAGTGATTATTTGTAGTACCATTTCGTCATCAATACGGGATAATAATCGAGTTCGAACATCGGCATCTGTGGAAGACTATAGTCCAAAAACAAACAATAAGCATTTAAATTGGTCATTTGATAATGTACTTAATTTAAGCGTTCAATTTGTAGATTAATCCTGCTTGCGTACGTCAGATAATCTTCACCAGAGTCCTTTTTTAACTGGAGGCATCTATAACGAATATGAAATAACAAAGCTTGTTCACAAAATATCTTGTTCAAAATACCAGCGGTTTCATCAAAACTCAACTCCCTTGGGTGTCTTGGCAGGATAAAATTTCCATATTTAGTGTCCTTGTGGGTCAAGTTTTTGTGATACCAATCTTACGTTCCTTTCATCCGAGAAAGATATTCGATGCTAGCGAACCATAATTCAAATATATGACCACTTTCCGAATCAAAAATAAGTTTTGGGACTAATTTAAGTAATGGTTCTATTTCCTCATCTTTTGCGGTGCATTTGGACTGGATTGAAGATTTTGATGTAAGTGATGTAAGCATCTGTTCTTGAGAAGCTAAAAATTGACTCTGCTGTTGCTGAAGAAATAATTGCATTTGCTCCATTAAAGTTGACATATTAATTTTCTTCTTCTGCATGAGTCAGAACAGTAATAAGAAAAAGACTGAATGACTAATTCATAACTAATGTCGTGCAAGGACACCGACGACAGCTCTGTACGTTGTGTTCAAATAATTACACTGATTCTCGTTCAACTACTGGATGGCCTCGATTCCTTTGTGAAAGTCGAGGTCGTAGACTTTCCATCCCGTCGCCAACTTGTTGTCCTATGGTCCATCAAATAACGTGATAAAATCGCCTTTTTGAATACCGACTTATATAACCTTGCCCCTTTGCTAAAGCAATGATGCGTTAACCAGCACGAACAGCCTTCAGTCAACTCTCAATTCCTATTGGTCTTCTGTATAGCAACTTCTCGCCTAGCACAAACCGTTCAGTTTAGAACAAAAATATCAGACTCCACTGTGTGGATCGTATATTTCAGACATACTCGGTCTACATACAAGCAGACCAGACCGCATCATAATACAGAATGAAAAAAGAAATGTCATACAAGACTACGCCAAAAGTATCTGTGAACGTGGGATACTGTGACCGATATATTGGGAACAAGTTAGGAATGGCAAATCGTATTGCGGTAGCCAAATGAAAGCTTATGACGGAAGGAATGTAAACATATAATCTAGTTACTTAAGAGTTATATAATATTATATATATATATATATATATATATATAGACAGTTCATCATTTTTTGTGTGTGGGCTGTGATATTGCCCAGGTGCCCAAACCGAAGCACGTGGTTTTCTTGGGGGGCCACTCCCCGAGCCTTCGACCTGAAGGTCTAACCCACAAGGCAGTGGAGCATCGTAAGAAGATGCAGTCCCATGGAAGCCGGTGACCAACAATTGGTTCATACGCCATTTGTTCCTGCAGGATACTGCAGCCCATGTGCACCATTGGTTTGGAATTCGGTCAAAGCGCCGGACATTCGGTTTTCGTTCTCTCATTTTCGTAAACAACACCCCCGCCACGAGAAGGCAGTGAGTAGGACTTCCCTGGCAGAGGCTATATACGCATGGTCATGTGAGAGCATTTCGAGAGGGAGAGCGGACTCTCCCCACTTTCGGCCGTATATATATATATATATACTAACAGTCTATAAATATTTTCCAGAAGTTACACATAATTTAATCATTTTCGGATACAAAAGAACTGATTTTATTTCATGTCACTTGAGATTTCCAACCACGATTAACTAGAAACTATCACTTGGGCACTTTACAAATGATACCGATGAATTAAAAAACATACGGATATGAAGTTTCACAATTTCTGAATCTTGAATATCATTTAGATGAGTAATCGAATATAGGCATGAAATAAATAAATAAATAATATAGACGTAGAATTAACAACTAATTTACTTGTAAAGGTGTTATAAGACATTCGTAAACTGTTGATCGTTTGGATCCCGTGTATTGATTCAATAATGAAACAGCATATGGTAAGCGTAAAACAGCTTGATATATACGATAGACATCCTAAAGTGTGTAGAAATATAAATGAAGAATATTTTTGATAATAAACATAATCTTGATATTTACGAAATAAGATGTAACTGATGAGGTAGTAAATATTTTTCAACTAAGGTTAGTGAGACATATGCTACATACGCCCAACCACCACCAACCTCGAAGCAAATAATGGCAAATGTAGTAGGTTAGAATAAACTTAGTGTGGTCAAATCAAGACGTGACATCAATTCATGTAAACAATCCCAATTCGACTGGGCATTTAAGCACGTACACACTACCTGGTTGGAATCCACTACATTATAGCAACCAATGTTCAGAGACTTCGAACGACAGCTCGAAATTATCTGCAACGGCGCATTGCATTCTCTTTGTATTCTTTACAATCTTAGGTTCGTCAATTCCTCACAAATTTATTTTTAAATATCTCAGTAGCTTATATTTTTTTCAAGAATTGTATCTTGGATACCTAAACTTTCATATTACCATTATTTATTTATTTTAACACATAGATATTGGTACAAGGAGGCACCAAATACATATGCGCCACACAAATCTCATTCGGTATGCGTGAGGGCTGTGATACTGCCCAGGTGCCCAAACCGAAGCACGTGGTTTTCTTGGGGGGCCACTCCCCGAGCCTTCGACCTGAAGGTCTAACCCACAAGGCAGTGTAGCATCGTAAGAAGATGCAGTCCCATGGAAGCCGGTGACCAACAATTGGTTCATACGCCATTTGTTCCTGCAGGATACTGCAGCCCATGTGCACCATTGGTTTGGAATTCGGTCAAAGCGCCGGACATTCGGTTTTCGTTCTCTCATTTTTGTAAACAACACCCCGGCCACGAGAAGGCAGTCAGTAGGGCTTCCCTGGCAGAGGCTATATACGCATGGTCATGTGAGAGCATTTCGAGAGGGAGAGCGGACTCTCGCCACTCTCGGCCGTACCAGGGCATTACCATTAATACTGTTATTACTTCAACTACTCTGAGATTCATTTCGACATTTTCTTCTGGCTATGCAGATGAGCTATGGTAAATTGAGTCTGTGTACACGCATACCGCGTTCTATGTTGCGTTTAACTGACCGAATGCACTTGGGAAAATAGATATATTATGCAAGGTTTCTTGTGGATAACTGACAGAGGAATCAAAAATTTTATAAGTGTGATTGATGGGGCTTTGATGAAGAGATGCATTAGATTCGAAGACTTAAATAATTAACAGACAGCCGATATCGCATTTATTTTGCTTTACAGAGGCGACTATTATCATTCGTCTTTGACCAGATATATGTGAAACAGAAAGAAGGCATAGTTGACTTCACCATGCTCTCATAAGAACACATATCCTGAAAGAGAAGTATATAACATCCATTAAATGTTGTTCCAGCGACTCTTAATCATTTCGTTGATTTTATTCTATGTCTCGCTGTAATCAGGGATATTAAAAAACTAACGGATACAATCCTAATCTTAATCAACTATATACAAGTGAATCATAAACAGTCATGCTAATAATGGTGTAAATATCATACCCGTTGCATAAATTAGTGGTTATCTGGACTCAGTAGCTCAGTAAATAGTGTGTTGACGTTCGAAACGAAAGGCATTAAGTTCACATCCTAATATGAACATCAACACTGGAATACGGAAGCACACCCAGATGACCAGTCGCAAATAAGAAGAAACGTGCAGCTTGAATTTCCCTGTTAGCCACAATCCATCTACTCTAAAAAACCATAAAGTCTGGTTCATGTTATAGGCTAACTGACGGTTAGTAAACTGATCTTCTAAAAATGTGTGTGGGCATTCTAGTTTCCCATAAAACATGATAGACTCATCTTATAAAAGCCAAACATCTCAAACTTGATTGGTTCTTAGACAAAGAACCAATGAATCAAATTCTTCTAGCTACCAACCTACGATAGATGGAAATCTATATATACATATATAGAGTGAGTATATTTTAATTAACCATTCTACAACTGATTTAATTAAAATAAACAAATCATCAGAAAAAAACAGAAGGGAGAAAACAAACCAAAGGTGTTCTTCTTTGTTAAAAAATAAACACGCAAGAAAGTCGTAAATAAAAACTATGATCTATATAAAATGCTTCACGCTTATTTCATTTACAATAATTATCTATGGAACATTTGGACAATATTATAAAATATGGAGCGAATATCCACGGTCAATTCTACAAAATGAAGAAAGTTAGTTTATTTTTAAAATACAATCTAAACCATATATATGTTGTGTAATTTTTAGATTACTTGTTTGTTTACACATCCAAAATAAATAGACAGTAATAGACAACAAGTTTATTAACAACATGGAGGGAATAAGAATGACATGTGTACATGTTGAACTACATCAATCAAAGAAAGACAAATGTTTCACTCAATAAGATTAAATAGAGATAATTGAATGAACAGTATAAACTTTGATTTAATAGTCTAAACATTTAAGCGGTCAATTTTTCTGGGTTCTATGTGAAAGATATGGAAATATATTAGTGTGATCAACAGAAAATGATGGAAAGGCACGATTTAGATAGAATTCGACATAAAAAAACTGATTACGATCACTAAATTGCCAATATAGAAACCGTTTTAAGAAGCTACTGAAGTCGAGAGAGAAAGAGAGTAGAAAAGAGTAATAACAACCACGCAAAGATTTTTATTTAATCAGTTTTTGTAGCCTAGACTCCTATACTCATCTGAATATAAGTACTATATTTTTCACCATACTAAAGGAAGAAACGCATATGGCTTGAAACAAAAATTTGATGCATAGTATATCATGATCAACTCTATACATAGAAAACCGGTTTTTTGGAGTACTAAAGTCACTCGTGATTCAATAACTATACGCAAGGTTAAATATAATTGAATATAGTAGGATTCCGAACATGTAACACAAGGGTATGAAAAATAATTGTATTACTGATTTAGATGTACGATTAAAGAAGTTATCTAATTGTAAATCGGATGGTTTGACGAATTAATTAAGGCAATATCCCCTCTAACGTGAAAACTCGTTTAATTCTCACTAGAGTATAATTGAGTGATAATCAAACGGCATTTATTACTAAAAGTCCTGAATCTTACTTATAGTTACGAAACTGGATAAAGGACAGTTATTATGTGTAAAACAAAAACATAGAGTAGTTTATAGAGTACTAAAGTTAAAAAATTATAGTTAAAGTCCCCTGTCATTTTAATAAGTTAGTAAACTTAGGACTTTTAAGTACTTATACTGGAATTATTACCATAAGATACTTGTCCAGATTATTGGATTTCATACTTAATACCACGAACTATTCTAGGTAAAACACTCACTGAAAAAAGGAGCAGTAGACAGCTTTTTTGTTCTTATATGTGACCTACCATTATGATTGAAGGATGGCTGAGAAATACTGCGAAGTTATAAATGTCAACCATTGAATGGTAATTCAGTGATTCTAATAGCTATACGTTTATTATGAGACCTGACAGTCGTGGGTTAGATCCTAATATGAAACTCCTCAACAGAGCTCACCAAGGATCAAAACTGGGACTATAAGGTCTCATGGTGCGAACTTAACCTTTACACCACTGAGTTGGAATCCAATAGCTTGCATTTCACCATTCTGTAAACATATCTTCCAATGTTATTAGTGTGTAACTGATCCACATCCGACGATTATACGATAGGACTCAGAGAACAAAACACCTTTGAAATGGTTCAACTCCATTGGTTACGACTCCTCACTAGGACTTGGGAAATCGCCTCAATTGTGAGTACATTATGTAGTCTTTGAAGTTGCATAATAATACATATCGAACAATGATAATTAGTAATGATTAAGTCAGTCACATTCACGCATATCAGAAAATATATATATCATATTCTGACTTTTAAAAAAACAAGCATAAATGATATCATTTTGCTTTGAACAAATAGTTTTTTCCACACTGATAGTTTGTATTTAAAGTCAATAATTTATAAAATTAAGAGTGAGTAGTACGACGAACAAGAGTATTTAACTAATCAATTGTTTTTTTTTCACATACTAATTGCGTTTTTAAGTAACTAGTAAATTTATTTCTATCTTGCCTCTTGTAACTTAGAAATACATGTCACAGAAAACTTCTTCAATTCAATTTAACTGAAGTAAACAAATAATTGTTTAACTACACCTTTTCGAAGATTCCCATTGTGAAAATTAGAACACATATAAGCGAACAATTGTTTTCAATTTGATCGTCATCAGGCTTTACTCAAATATACATGAATATTTATACGAAAATGTTAAACCAATCAACGCATTGTACAAAATAACACCATTTTTGTTCGGATTCTGTCAGATCATATCAAAGACTATGACATAAAAATTTAAAAAATAACCAACTGAATCATAACTTCAAATGCGTCTGCAGTGCTTGTGTCACTAGTTTGTATCCGTAGTCTTACTGTTTATACGTGACAATCGGGGACCACTGTAATTCCCACGACGCAAAGCGAGAACACAGAAGACTGATGCAAATGGAAACCAATTGATTAGTTCAAAAAGTCTCAAGATACGTCGTTGTTAGACCAAAATATACCCATTTATATACTGGGTTTTACACATAGTATCATAATGTACAGTGGAAATTATATAGGGTTACTGTAAAAACACTGAATGTAGTGTACCTTAGATAAATGAAGGTTCGTGAAGGTCATATACAATGAAATTCATACTGAATTGATATAAAAAATATTGACCGAAAATGATATCACGTTTTTATCCCATTATATCGTCATCAACATCAGAACATGGAATTTGAAAGAAGCTCAAATCAAAGGGTTACGTACATTGCATTGAAACAGGGATCCAACCCCGAAAACTCAGGTCTTTAGAAGAATGCTTAACCGTCAGACCTCGGAGTTGACATGTAAGAGTAAACATTTTTAGCTTTAATCAATTCGTGAGGGCATACTGTTAAAGTCTTATACTAAGATGAAACAGCTATCCAATGTCCCTTGGTGTATAATGATCCCCGCCATAGTGGAGTCAATTCATGAACAATATCACAGAGAGCTTATATTGGTCTCCATAAAGACATCAAACCCTGTAATTTAATTACTAACCACATGAAATATTCTGTTAATGGTTACACAAAGTATGATGTTTTACTTCTTCCGTTTTTTTGAATAAGTAACCAAGTAAAGGTGTAGTTTTATTTTAACCGATCTTGTAAAAACAGCCTTCAAATTAACAATCGTTTTCAATCTACTTGACTGGCGATAATTTGTCAAAGTCGGTTAGGTTTTAAATTTTCCAACACCCGAAGGTAGTTGTCATCTAACATTAGGTGAGATTGGAAATTGGCTTAAACTATAATCTGACCGAAATATATGTTACATGTTATTCATTTCGACGCGTACAAATCCATTTTACTAAAGATCCTTAATTCATGTTTTTGGTTTTTTTAATGGCTTTAACTTAAAAGTGACCATTTTACTTAAGATTATTACTTTAAGCTAGAAATCATGTAACCTGAAGAGAATTTATTGAAAATAATATTTACAGGTCAGTCACAACCCGAAAAGCTCCATGGAAACCTCTCAACGTTATGAACCTAGGTGACCCGGGTTTGAACATATTTCCTCGAAAAATGGAGGTACGCCTTGATAATTAGTGTCAAATAACATGGAATCTAGATTCAGGGTTTTCTGTAGACTACCTCCCACCACCTAACGTGTAGTGAGCATTTTTCGTCCACATAATGACTCTACTTTGATAGAAATATTAAAATGGTTAAATCTTAATTAGACCAAGAAAGCTGGTGTTGATAGTTTATAGAATACTAGTTAGCCAACGAAATCATTCTAAGCTATGTATAAAATGAAAAGTAAGCAAATGAAATCTGTCAGGAAATTAGGTGACAAAGCTGCTTAAAGTAAGTGTCAGTGGTGCAAATACATTTACAAGTTTTTATTTTTCAGTCAATTGTTAAATATCATGTTAGAAATATATATTTTTAATCGTACTTTCGTCTGTTTTTCATCGTCTCTTTCCTTAATAACTGTTTTTGCCTTAGAAATTTTCGATCTGATAAATATGGTTGTATTCGCTTTTTAATCTATCCTACTATTGTGTAGTTGTTATGGTTTGAACAAATACACCATTGGATTTGGGCTTTTTATCAATTACTGATAGCCTGTTAATCGGGAGGTTGTGAATTACCCAATACAGTTTTAGTTTTCATACCACGAATTGACGTTAGTTAAACAACTAGTGGAAATCATAAAACAGGATAAGTATTTTAATCTAGTATGAAACTCCGTTGCAATTCCTATCAAACACCACACTGGAGATTAAACGCAAGACCTTCAGGTCACATGTATTTAGATAAATGGTCCATCTTGTATGGATTGTTGGGGGTTTGTTTCTGCTAAACGCGGTAGGTTTTAGCAAAGCATGAAAGTCTGAAGCTACTCGCTTTTCGTTTTGACGTTATTAAGATCGATATAAAGGTTGTTAAAATAGCATGTATTGTTATTGTTGGTTTGATTTGCAGATTCCCCCGCTCTGCAGAATCGTTAGGTCTTTTAGTGTAGCTTATATGATCTTTGGTGTGAGTCATAATTTCACGAGACTCCCATACAGAACGCATCAAAATTTACACATCCTAGTCTATAGACACAGATTCTATATTTAAGTGATAGAAATTTGATCTTTTGTTTGAACTAAAACATTTTGAAGAGTGTTCGTTGTTTTATAGAGAATGCTAGAATTCTGTATGATCTAAGGGTTCATTGTAATTTGTTCGTTGTGCTCAGATGATATAGTTGAACCTAGTTCATGATGTGTACCATGAAACTCAACAAGCTTTCAATACTAGTAATTTTTCCCTTAAATTTCGTCACCTTTTGTGTTTTTGCATTTGTATTATATGATTTTTTCAAATAACTAAACCGTTTTTTAGAGCTCACATTTGAGATTAGAATAGAATAAGAGAAATAACTAATGTAATTATTTAAATGTATCATGTTTTGGATCAGGAGTTACATAATACACGAATCGATATGAAAATCAATTAAATCCAGAGATGAGTGCTGATTACACTGCGTTTAAGTGTATAAGAAATCATTATTATTAAACAAGTCTGATAAATTTGAGTGTAAACTGATAAGTCGCTGAAAAGAATATTCTTCGTTTATATACAAGTGATTGTTTTTTTCACAAAATGTTACGGGCTATAGATTAGATACCGACGGATGTTTCGTCCTAGTATGGGACGCCCTAGTAGTGCGTAATCATAACCCAACCGACAGTCGAACCCAGGACATTCAGCTCCTGTTGCGAGCGCCTAACATGTAAAATACTAACTAATCTCCAGGGGTGATACTTGAAGTTCTGTTTAGAAACCACGACTAGTGGAGGAAGTTAAATACCAATGGCATGAGGAGATGGCTGCTTAGTATCATGGATTGACTGAAGTTAGAAGTGTAAGCAAATGGATTCCAACTTACTGATCTCAGGGTAATGTGGGTGTCAAGACCTGACGGTCATAGATCGGATCCATGGCAAAGTTGTAAACACGCACTAGTGAGAAGTCCCACACTAGAGCAAAAGAACCGCTAAATGCACTCTGGTTTCCAGTGTCTGTCGAGCTAAAGTCAGTCCATAGTGCAAACTACAAAACTCATTAATCCTCTCAAACCCCTCACATTACCAAATGTTACTTCTGAAAAAAAATAATCAACTGTTCTTTTAATAGGATTAACAAAACGTCCTTGGACTTTACGTGACCCACTGAATTGTTGCTTGGATAATGCTAAATGTTGTAGGCGTAAAAGGTATTTTGGAAGAAAACTGGATGAAGATGACGAAGATAAATTTGGTTTGACACGGGGAAAACACTTTTGGAAAAATCGTGTATATCAGATTAGAAATCGAATGAATCCACTACTGATAAAAAAAATTTACTCATGAAAGAATGAATAAGTATTGAGTTCTAAAAATGTTATTACTATATTGTGTATGTATCTGTCTATCCATAAATATCTTAAAATAAACATTTTTTAAACATTTCATTATGATTTGTTAGAGACGAGCATGTCGGTTACTAGGGTGAATTAAAGACAAACTGGTGTTTTCCTATATGAAATTGAGGAAACTTGAGTGAATGAAGTTGCATTATTTAGGCTATCAACATCCTAGAAGGAAGCGAAAACGAATAAACAAATCCATTTCTTGGGAATACCAATAGTTTATCTGTGGTCGGGAGCTAAAGATGACGATAGGTCAGCAAAAGGGATATACAAATATACTAAATTTACAAGGAAGCATACCTTGAAACAATTCCATAGAGAAACGAGCCAAGAGACAACCCTTTCTGTTACAGTTACGAGTTAAGAGTAAGGAAAACACATAGTCTACACTGTGACTGTTAACAGTTGTATATGTATCTATTACACGGAGTTGAGCTATTACTATTGTAAAGAAAATTGGTGTTTGTGCACACGTTAATCACTGTAAGAAACGGTCTATGTTGGATGTTCAAACAAAACTTCATTGTTGGGTACAACCATTAATCATCAAGTGAAAAGTGTATATCAAAGCCAAGCACATTAAACACATACTTAGATAGGTTCCATTAAAATTCCAATTAAAAGAAAGTCAAATCAATACAAGGATATTTTAAATGACATTAAAAATATTAAGGCATCAATTGTGAAATAATTCAAGGATGACTTTTTGTGAAAAAAATTATTTTAATAATCTCCAGTCAAATATAAACAAATGTAACTTATTTATCAAGTGTAAGCATTTGTATTTGATGTCCAAGTACAATTTAGTTACGTGAAAACTGCTGGTATTACTCAACTGTCTAAACTGAAGTAAATGGTAAAGGGCTAGAAACTAAGACCTACTACCACCGCCACTGGTCATCATGATCAGTGATAGTTTATCAAATAATTTATTATTAATACTGGAACTATTTTTAAAGTTCGAAACCTGAGATTCAACATAAAAGCTTGAATCCAAACAATTTGAGATAATAAAATAAAAATAAGAAATTTAAACAGAAAGATTATTTCCAAAAATTGATATTAATCAACCAACCTGAAGGCCAGAACCTCTGATTTTCTTAAGACGTCGACCTAGACGTTGTAAATCAGGGATGCGACGTAAGAAATCTTCATGCAATCCTCGACGTATCGCAGTTTCTTCAACAAACGATTCAACTAAGTCCAAACGTTCTTCTACAAATTAGGAAATAAACTAAAAGTTACGTACGAATATCTAAGCGGTGAATAAATATTTCCTAACGTTGAAGGGAAACAATTCATAAATATATAAGAGAAAATTCTTGATGGATTTATCAATGATAGTCGTTAATGTGTCCTAAAAAGTGATCTTTAAAACAAGTAATGTGGTAATTACCTTCATTAACTTATTTACAACAGTCTGGTGTTACATTTTTATTTACCAGTGTACCAATCTAGTGAACATTAGATGTAAACTAGTTTGCACGGTAGGCACTTGGATTCCTACCATAAATTTCAAGAAATTAAATTGTAGATGCATTATAGATGTTTAGTATACATTTAATAATATACTAGATAAATACTTTCACAAAATGATGTAATTATATAAGGCTACTGCCTGTTAACGCGATATTTTAATTCGACTACAACTATTATCTTGTAAAGAATTTTTTACGTTATAATGACATACCAATTTTTGACTTATCTATCAAAGGTTGTCGAAGCCATTGAGCTAGAAGACGCTGGCCTTGAGCTGTTCGACAATTGTTCAATGCGCCATAAACACTGTGAAACTTGTTTTCTAAAACATTGGAGGTTACAAGTAAAACAGTATATGCGTTAAGAAATTATTAAAGTAAATATAAATAATTTACAACAGCGATAGACTGTTATTATTTAATATTTAATTTAGTTATTATGTAACCGATCGGAAATGACTGAGATTAGCACCTGGTAACTAAAACACTTGACTCCCAGAAGTTGGATTGTAGGCGAGAACTCGGCTTCACCTACTTTGTTATGAGCAGCTGAATCTCAGGGCACTGTATAGAGAATAAATCTGTCTTATATTTGCATTTACTAATAAACATATGATCGTGTGTTTACTAATAACTAACTTTGAGACAAGTTACTGAAGTTCTGCAGGGAATTCATGACAGATAGACACTGAGAATAAAATAGTTATCATTAACCGTATTGAATGGCTGTCGGCAAAGTAACAAATCGATTGGATTTGAAAACGTATATGATTGGATATACGACCTAATAATCTAATGGTTTAGCAATCACAATAAGATCTGAAGATCCTGGGTTTGATTGCTGGTGAGGTCGTGAGTGTGCACAACTAAGTAGTCTGATACTAGAGCGAAATATCTATCCAGTACTCTGATTTTTAATGATATCCCCAAACAAGTTTGATCCGTGTATATACAGATTATATACAAATTAAATCAGTCTTTAAAACGCTCCAGAAACGATGCATCCTTAGTATAACTACTTTCATTTTATGCACCATGGCATTTGAAAACGCTCTTCTTCCATTAGTTATTTATCGTATTCCTCTAATCTATTTCAATTATAATTTATTTCCAGTGTCCTTTAAAAATAATTTTAAAATATATTCATGCTTAATTAGCGAAAAAAAAGATTTTTGTTATGAATGCCTTACTCTATTTATATTATAATGCACTGTCAGTACACTGATTTTGTTCTCTTTTCTTTTTTATACATATTCTGTAAAATTTACGCAACCCTGGATTATTGTCATTTACACTACATGATTTAGTATTATACACTTTATTATTACATTATCATGATTATACACTGTCCATATTTTTCGTTACAAAATTAATTTATGCAAATAATAGAATTCTTGTTTATGATTACTGATTTAGCGTTAAGTAGAAATTATAATCGCGTGATCACTTTGGCACTTGTCGAATAAATTACACACATTAGTCAAGCAAAGTGCATGGCTATTTACTAAACCTACAGACACTTTCAACTTGAGTGCTAGAAATACTATCCGATTTTCTGTATCAAAATAGGTGAACTGAGAAACTTGCGATCTAATAACTGAAGGTCAGGTGCCTCTATCAATCTGCTACTTATGTTGTTGTTACTTTAAAGGTAAATTAAAAAAGCGTTGTTTATATCATTAGAGGGAGGTGCATTTCAGAAAAACGAGGGTTATATAATCAGCGAAAATTTGCAGGTAAAGCTTTTATGTATTACTGTTTAAAAAATCATATAGTCAAATATTGTCTAAGTGTCATACTAAAAACAACATGAAAAAAACAAAATGACAAACAATTTATCCACTTAACACTCACTATCATCTGGACCAGGTAATAAGTGCAATGCCCGACTGGCAGCACTATCTAGGCGTACATGATTTTCAAGACTAAAAGTTTCTAATGTGAATACATGACGATTCGTGTCAAAAGCGTTTAGCTAATGAAAAAGAAGACCAATTAGAAGATAAATCAAACATCCCATTAAAAAAACAAAAAAATGTGACGGAAAAATCTAGGATCCATCAAGAAATTTCATTCAACCATATAAATAAATAAAGTGTACATCAATTCACAAGGGGAATTTATCAACCAATAGTATGTATTACAAAAACAGCGTCAAATATTCACAAACACTAAATAGCAAAGCTTAAATAACCTAGAACTTGCATTTTATTATAAACCATGTCCCTTTATCGATTTATATTAGCAGGCAGATAAGATTAGTTCTATTTTGTTAAAGTGCAAATTCTTCTGAAGTTTCTAAGTAATGATGCGAAGAATGCTTGAAATGAAATTCTTTTCCCTCGTTAATTCAGAACATTGCTTAGGAAAGGATATGTATCGTTATTATTGTTTTTTATTGTAATGATACCTGCATTATTAATCGTAGGTTCGATGTATCAACATCAGTAATCAAAAAAGTTAACAATGTAAATTTTCCGAGATTTGCTGTAGTGTATTGTATATTTGGTCCAAAAGAAATTTATAAGATTGAGAGACATGTTCACGGGTATTATTTCATGGACAGATTTGTTGGTTTACACGTGATGATCGCCATCAATCGTTGGAAAGTGGGGCGACTTGGTTCAAACGCATTCATTCTCCCAATTTCAGTATCTTTTTATACTTACTTTTCCATTCTGTCTCCTCAAACTATAGTCCCAAGTTTAAGTATTTCTTTCGATTTCTTCTGTTAATTTTATCTAGTGCTGATGTGTGATTTGCCATTTTAGGATAACACACATCTGTATCAGGCTTTAGATGGATATCTGTTTGTCATGTACAAACTCAAACCTCGAATTGCTTTCCCTTTGGAAAATTGATGAACTAATTTGTGGCACTTTGATAACTACAAGGAAAAATTAAGGAAAAACGAACACAGAAACACTAATTTGATTCTTACTATAAGTATAATATTTACTGATTTTCTGACTTCACTAATTATCCCTAGATTGTACTATAATGACGATAGTTCTTAGAGCTGCTAAATACCTAAATATAACGTTTTATCTTAAAAATATTAATCTTCTTCGATCTCTCCCGATAAATCTATTTTATAAGGTTTGTCTTTTGAAGTAGTTGAAGTTAGAAAAGACAAGAACGCCGTTATATCCCGGGCATCAAATTATCGTTACATTTATCGATTGTATTCAGCAAACTTGACAGACAAATGATGTAGTATTGCATTACTTAAGAAAAGCGCTCGGTACACAAAAAGTAGATATCAACTCTTTAAGGTTCAATGGTAATTATCCTATTAAGGACAAAAGTTTAGTGATTATATATATATATATATATATATATATATATATATATATATATATATATATATGGAGTGACCACTCAAAGAAACTAGACAATCAACTCGATTAAATTAACGATAGCTCATAATAATGTCAAACTTTTTTTTCCTACCGAGATTAACCACTTCAAAAAAATTATAAGGAACAATCAGGCATACCATTGATCAGTATACTTATTAACTTGACACTCATTAATTATATTCAATGACCGAAGAAAGGAACTTAGAACATTCGAAAGTATCATTTCAGTTAGCTACGAAAGTAAAAAACTTACATCTAGGAATTTTATTATGGCACCCAGACAAGACAATGCATCTTTGAGAAGAAACTCTAAAATTCGATGTAAAAGAATTGATTATATATATATATATATATATATATATATATATATATATAATGTAAGTACGAACAAGCAAAACTTTAAGCAATTATTAATTGCCTGGGACTAGTTTTTGTAAAGGATAACAACCTTGAGGAAGGATTGTTCCAGCCAGTATAGCTCAATTGCTTTATTATGATAGGCAAACCCGACCACCATGTATAGGTAGAAGCAACGGATCATAGTTGAACAATCAATAGAATAGAAGTACTCACCGTACATCAACTTAGTTCATTATGAGAAAGCGTTTGACAGTGTGGATAGGTGAAATATATGGTATCGTCTCCTACACTGCGGCGTATCTAAAATTATCAATAACATAATACGGAATGATACGACGAACTACACTGCTCGAATTTAACAGCATGGATATTGCTATTTTTCGGGGGTTTTAATCTAGTTCCTACGATTGCAGTGCCGTGCTTTAAATTTAGCAAGCGTTGGCAATGCAGTGATTATTTGTAGTACCATTTCGTCATCAATACGGGATAATAATCGAGTTCGAACATCGGCATCTGTGGAAGACTATAGTCCAAAAACAAACAATAAGCATTTAAATTGGTCATTTGATAATGTACTTAATTTAAGCGTTCAATTTGTAGATTAATCCTGCTTGCGTACGTCAGATAATCTTCACCAGAGTCCTTTTTTAACTGGAGGCATCTATAACGAATATGAAATAACAAAGCTTGTTCACAAAATATCTTGTTCAAAATACCAGCGGTTTCATCAAAACTCAACTCCCTTGGGTGTCTTGGCAGGATAAAATTTCCATATTTAGTGTCCTTGTGGGTCAAGTTTTTGTGATACCAATCTTACGTTCCTTTCATCCGAGAAAGATATTCGATGCTAGCGAACCATAATTCAAATATATGACCACTTTCCGAATCAAAAATAAGTTTTGGGACTAATTTAAGTAATGGTTCTATTTCCTCATCTTTTGCGGTGCATTTGGACTGGATTGAAGATTTTGATGTAAGTGATGTAAGCATCTGTTCTTGAGAAGCTAAAAATTGACTCTGCTGTTGCTGAAGAAATAATTGCATTTGCTCCATTAAAGTTGACATATTAATTTTCTTCTTCTGCATGAGTCAGAACAGTAATAAGAAAAAGACTGAATGACTAATTCATAACTAATGTCGTGCAAGGACACCGACGACAGCTCTGTACGTTGTGTTCAAATAATTACACTGATTCTCGTTCAACTACTGGATGGCCTCGATTCCTTTGTGAAAGTCGAGGTCGTAGACTTTCCATCCCGTCGCCAACTTGTTGTCCTATGGTCCATCAAATAACGTGATAAAATCGCCTTTTTGAATACCGACTTATATAACCTTGCCCCTTTGCTAAAGCAATGATGCGTTAACCAGCACGAACAGCCTTCAGTCAACTCTCAATTCCTATTGGTCTTCTGTATAGCAACTTCTCGCCTAGCACAAACCGTTCAGTTTAGAACAAAAATATCAGACTCCACTGTGTGGATCGTATATTTCAGACATACTCGGTCTACATACAAGCAGACCAGACCGCATCATAATACAGAATGAAAAAAGAAATGTCATACAAGACTACGCCAAAAGTATCTGTGAACGTGGGATATTGTGACCGATATGTTGGGAACAAGTTAGGAATGGCAAATCGTATTGCGGTAGCCAAATGAAAGCTTATGACGGAAGGAATGTAAACATATAATCTAGGTACCCAATAGTTATTCTTCGGATGTAACAACGTTAAAAGGAGGCAGTCAACAGATGTAACTTTCTATATAGTGGGAACACTACAGTATTAATTATTCATATGCTTATCTTTATAATGGTTAAAATACAATGGATCTAATTTTCAAGGGTTGGGAATAATATGAAGCTAGGTCCATTGACAAATTTTTTTTAATAGAAATAAAATTTGCATATCATCGACTACTATGGCAAGTTTTGGACATTTGATCTATGATTTTATGCACACCAAAATGTACGAAAAATACTAGTTCATTTTTTTTGTAGACATTTATACTACTTGGTTTGTTGTTAATAGTTTAATAACTGGTAGCTATAGAAGAAAATAATATATGAGTAATAAACTAGTGACACAATTTGCTGTTACTACTTTTATCGTTTGAATTTTCAGGAATTCAACTCCTACCAGATGGTCCACTTATCGACTTAGAGAACGGAGATGACACAGTCCTGTTTGATGAGGACGCCAATGAAATGTAGAGTTTTAAGGTAACACAGAGTGACAATGCCAGGATGTTTGAGATGCGTCTCTCCCCCTCTAAATGCAAGTTGTTGCCTCAACACTGGTCCACGTCAACACCTAAACTAAGGATAGGGAGTGAAGTAGTCGACAACTTCACTTATGATGAAAGTCTGAACAGCTCTAATTGGTGTCTGACGAAATATCTGCACAGATTCGAAAAGACGAGATATGCCTATCAATAAAGGGACGAGTATACTGTGCAGCAGTTCGTTGTTCTACTTTACGGCTGCGAAACGTGACTACTAAGAGTAGAGGATGCTCGTGAGCTTCAAGTATTTGATCGCAGATGTCTCAAAGTATTGCTCGCATCTTCTGAAATCATCGGGTAAGTAATAGTGAGGTTAGACGAAGGGTATTAGGGAATGATGGTAAATCCGTTGATGAGGTTGTGAATATTTATCGACTGAGATGGTTGGGCCACGTGTTCCGTATGTCTGAACACCGATTACCACGACGCGCAGTACAGACTAGTGTTGAAGACAGTTGAAAGTTAGGGGAGGTAAAACTAAAACTTGGCATTAGTTCTTGAAGTCACTAACTTCTGGTCTGAGCCATGTTGGTAGACGCAAACTACTTCGTTGGGGTTCGTGCGACTACCGTAACCAATGTTCGGAGACTCTGAGTGACATGGCTCACAGTCGATCTCGGTGGCGCGCATGCATTCACATGCTACCTCTATAGATCAGTGTTTCCAATATCCCTCCATACATACCTTCCCATCAACTTTTCGAACCACCTTCCTAATGTTTATTCTTTCTTATTATGGTTGCTGCTACATTATTTCGGTTTCTCTGACGTACATCTTGTTAATTTCATTTCGTCGACCTAACGTGATATGACAACTTAGACCAACTCCTGTTTGAGCCGGGCTCTATGTTGATATCTATTTTTCTGAGTTCACCCTTATCAAGCAGCTTTCGTTGACATACATTTTTGTCTGTCTCTTTGTTGATTATTTCTAACTGGTTGTTTAAGCATCATATGTGCCAAGCTCTTTGTTCACTATGACTGACACGTATTAACGACGTCGAATTTCGGGCTACTGGTAAGATCTGAAAGTTTCTACAAGTTGTATATATTTATGTTAGAAACCCTTGAAACTATACCATATATATTGCAGGCCTCAGGGTATTTTACTGATTACATGATCATTCTATGACACCGCTTCATGAACAGAAAATAATTAACATGAGTTTCAATAATAATGTAAAAACCAAAACTCAACTGAAAACTTGTTACGAGACATTACTACAAAATACATCCACATAGGTATACGAGAAGCGATTATTTTAGGTTTGTTTACAGTCAGTCAGTCATACTCAATGTAGGACCTGTCACATATGTGAATCGGTGTAAGTTGTCACACTACACTAGCATAGCGAAATGAAATTATCAAGATAAATCCCAGATTGTTAGAAAGTTTAACAATACCAGTAATAATAGAAAGGATTAGGTAGACAACAAACGGAAAAGTTGTAGCCTTATTATAATATTGATTCGATAGCATGAAATGCCAAACAAAGCCAACTGCTTTGCATAGAAAATTTCTAAAAGTAGGTACACCAGTAAAACAAATGAATTTCAAGTACAGATTGTGATTAAAATCCACAATAATCTAATTATCTTTGCTTTCCGGTGGGTATAATAGTAGCATCTGACTGAATAGCATTCAAAAACAGATTACCTTTCTCGTAGAGCAAAGAGCCATTTGAGTTTTCTTTTTCAGATCGCAGGAAATAGATCAAGTCTTGTGGTTTAATTGTGTGCGAGAATTCAGCTTAAATAAGCAAAAACAAACAGCTTTATGAGATCATAACTGGAACCAAACCACATTTATATAAATGTGGATCAAAACTAAGAATAAAATTCCAGTGTTTTTATCTCTTCAGATACAAGTACCAAAAATGGGGACTAACTAAAATCATAGCTGCTGTCATTAATCAAAAATCCCTCAACATTTGATCAGCTATATTCACAAAAAAGATTTCCTACTGTGAGTTGGAGAACTCAGTTTAATGGTTTAAACTTAATGCAACATTAAACTACGACCAAAAGTATTTGATAATTCATAATTACAAACAAATATGGGATCAGAGATATGGTTTCATCTGACCTTAAAACAGGTATTTTCCGCTTTAGTAAACATGATGCACATCTCACCAATTTAGATTTACAATTTTAAGACTTGATTCACGTCATTTAAAGCATTACTTTCCTAGACCAGAGACTAAATTTCGCACTGAAGATTTCATAAAATAACTAGTGGTCAAAAAGTTGTCGTTTTTTCATCCCATTAAACCTACATTTTGTCTTACATATCTGTATGAAAATAAGTATATTTTGGTGGTCTAAAGGATTTTTGACTAGTGGTACAGGGTAATTTGACGGATAAATTTAAGATGGTTGTTTGATTAATTTAAATTTTGTGTAGTGAGAGATCAAATAACGTGAGGTACCATTTAGTGTATGGGAAATGAAGACCCTTAAATTTAGCCAACACATATTTCTGAGGATGTCTTCGGAACAAGTCTGGTACTAATAAATTGCGAAAATTTTAGCCTAAGACTAAATTGAGTAGAAGTTGGTAAACTGATAAAACATACCGATAAAAACTTACTTAGGTTAATAAAATGTTAGTGTTTAATTAGAGATGATGAAATGCATAAACTTATTTAACTTTGATGACTAGACTATTCAATAATATACTCTTTTAGCATTACCGGAATCAAATGCTTTTGACAATTATCACAACAATATTAGATGGAGACCAAGAATGATTTAATGCATGGTGTTAAATTATGACCGGGTTTCAGATTCAAATTTCTGGCAGCACCAACAATCGCTCCTTTGGGTGATACACACCCAATGATTTATTCTATTTTTGTTAATAGGAGGTTTAGGACTGTTATGAAAGCTACACGTCAATTTATACGGCTATAGCCTAACCCTAATTTATGAAGGTGTTTTGAAAGTGGTTTGACACTAAAACAAAGCTAACCAACAGTAATAGATGGTTGATTCTAACTAGGTTCGTAGACCCTTCTGTATTAAATTGAACAGTAACTTTGAATAATGTAATCAGGTTCACTATCTAATCCGCTCCTTATTGGTTCACAAAAATGGACTTTTCCAGTTAATACAAAAAACTATCACCGATCTTCGAACTTTAATTATTACTCTAAGATATTTCAAAAAAGAGCAGATATGAGGAATTAACAGATGTGGAAAGTCAGGTTTTACGAAGGTATGAAAAATAAGCAATGAGAATACGATCAGTAAGACCTTTGGTCATCCCAATTTAATCACTAGCAAACAACATAAAAGAACATCGACTACGGTGACGAAATTTCAACGATATATGAAATTAAGAGATATTTTTGATATCAAACATAGCTTAGAAAGGTCTATCGATTACCGAGGTGCAGGACTTACACTTTTTTACCTCAGTAGGTAAAATCCCAGTTTTTTCAAAGATAAAACTGACGTGTTCCGAAATAGCATTGCCCAAAGGTGTGACATCAGATTTCGAAATATCTGGATGTGAAAGCAGTCCGGTAGGGACAAGGCATTCTCTTGTTTTAAGTTGAACAAGAGCAGTTTCCAAGTTCGCTAGGTGCACTGAGTCCATGAATTCACCAACAAGAAACTTCCGACTTTCAGTTTCACAAAACGCTAGGCACACATGCTGAAATACAGAGCAATTGTCTTGTTTGATTGAATAATTAACTCCAATAACAAAAATCAAAAACATTGTAACACTAGGACATGGAACAGGAATAATGAATTCCAAACAGATATCACCAAATGATCATGAATATCTTATGTAGATGGAAACCACCTTCAAGCTTAACGGAATAACCTTTTCTCTAGCCATAATGATGAGTAATTGATGTTCTGGCTGCCACAATTAAACCTTTCGCCAACTGTTCTAGCCAAAGATTTCAGTTGTGACGCTCTTGCCTGTGGCTTCAATTATAACATAAAGCAGTAATAGAGTAACACAACTTTTTTATCTCCTAGTGGCACTTCCCGGCATTTGAACGTAGCTACTCCGGCTGAAAGTACCTAAATATTCTAATATAAACGTAGGATTTAGTTATTTAGATTATCAGAAAAGTATTGTACTGAAATATCATTAATCTAAGTCCTAAGAATCGACTTTAGGTGTACTTTTAAGGGTGTTAGTATACTTACCTAGTTTAAACATGTAAATTTTGGAGACCGAAAATGTAGAGACCATAAATAAAGATAGCACTAAATAAATGGAGAAAACGGTAGTACAATAATAAAAAATGAACGAGAATTCATACTAGGATATACAGCTCACTTGAAAATACAACCAGAAACATTTTTTATCTAAGAACGTTTCTCACAATTTTTTCCACTAGCTATTATATTGTGGCATATTTGCTAACGTCCCAAGTTACATAGTTGAACCACCTACAGAATATAAAACTTATGGTTTGAATTAGACATAACAGACAGTTTCTGATGAAACCAGTAATCTACGGTCCCTGTTTAGAAAATTCTGACGCTGTAAGTATCATTAAGTGATATTTAATACCTTAAATACGAAGTGTTTAACCCATGTCAATCGTTACATTCACATATCCGGGTGGTTTTGTCTGTTATCAACAAGGTTGGTGAACATTAGCAGCGAATCGCATACGGTTGTAAAAGTTGCACTAAACTTACTATTCGTTCGTTTAGCTGCTTTACATTTACTGCACTGAGTCCACAAGCTTCAACTGAATCTGATGTGGATGTAAGGAGATCTTCTACTGAACCCAAGTTCCCAGGAGAAGCCTGAAAATAAGCTAATAGCTGGCTCTACAAACCTTCAACTTAAGGCTCCACTCATTATCTCTCCCACATTTGGATGTGGAACAATATATTTCGATGCGATATTGCCTCTTTAGAAGAAAATGTCTCAAAAAGTCAGTGTTCTGTTTTTTGACAGTGACATACGACAGGCTTGACTTCCCCCTGGAAAACCGCTTTACGAGGGACGGATTTCTGTAGTAATCTGTAGCCACAAGAATAGCATCAGAATCATGAAGCGTCATTATCTCCTGGAAAGAAATAACTCCAATTAATATGGCTTACCCCTCTTTCGAAGCATCGAAGAGTGGTAGGAGGCTTCTATATTGGAAAGTAAATTTTGAGAATTTTATCCTTACAGGTCCAAGAGATTTCCAGAAGGAATAAAATCCATCTTCCAATGAAACACTCGACTGCATATTCTGTTACAAATGTTACCGGTGTCTATTTGGAAGCAGGGGTGATCTAAAGCAACAGCATACAAATAAGGGTCAGCGAATGTTTCGAAGCAAGAACACGACGTGCTAGCACAACATATATATTTCAGAAATCGAATAACGTATTTGGGCCACAAAAGGGAAAGGTTATTATGAAGATAGTCTTATCCATCACGCAGATCCTATTTTTTCTTCCAGCACGTTTACTTATTGTTCCCCTGTAATAAGAAAAACATTTTCATTTCAATAGCGTTAAGTATGGTGAAGCAAAGTGAAGCAAGGTGAAAACGGTGATTTTCAAACCAGTTGCGCAGAGCGCCTAATCAAGAAACCCTATATTTCTGTGCTCAATAGATCCAATCAGAAAAGATACTATCAAATAGGTAGTAGAAAAAAAGCAAAATAAGGTTTTTCCTAACGACCTCTGGCTTATGGTAGCAGTGAGTCACCCATAATTGCATCTAGTGCCTCAAGTATATGGTTCATTACCGAGCTTTGATAGCATTTACATACTTACTTACTTCCGCCCGTTACTCCTTGTGAAGGAGCATAGGCCTGTCACCAGCATTCTTCATCCAACCCTGCCCTGGGCGGTCCTTTCCAGCTTCTTCCGGTTCCGATTCATCCTTTTCACATCTGTTTCTTTTTCTCGAAGTAATGAGTTTGTAGCGGTAAATAAATCCCCAAAATAAATAGCTCTGTAAGTTTTCGACATTGGATCCTGACCATATGTTTTAGTGGACCCATCTAGCTGAAGGCGCTCGGTCAGGCATCCGCACCAGATCAAGTGTGGTAACGCCGCGCTCAACATCAACCGCAATCGCTAGCCAGATTAGATCACAGAATTCCGATATATTGGTCATCGCCAAATATACTCTTCCGATCTCCTCGACTCTGTCTTTTAATTTCTCTGGGTGGGAACGAAATATATTAGGTGTTACTGGTAGAAGCGTTGTCAAACACTGAATACCTGTGACATCATCATTGGTGAGACCGACGTGATCTGGTACACCTAATTGCAACTGTGAGTCTGTTCCTTTTTGGGATTTTTATATATCATTGCCTTATTTTTTTATTTTTTTAAACATTGTGATTTTTTTCGTGTTTCTTCTTGGATATAAATATATTTTTCCCTCGTTCATTATCATACTTCATCATGACTGAACAGACACCTAAAGTACTCAAGCTTAAGACTTTGTCCCCACCTTCGTTTCAACTGATGCTTTTCTGGCCCGACAACATCGAAGCCTGGTTTCGCTACGCAGAAGCCGACCTCTCCGAGCACGGCGTGATCGGCACACGTGCACAATTCCTCGCAGTAGTCAAGGTACTACCGCGCGAATTCAACAGGTACGTAACACGTTTTACAACATCACAATCTGATCATCGATACGCGCAAACGGAGGCTAGTAGACGGAAACACTAATTTGTCCGTTTGCGTAACTTCTTTTACTGGTTGCAGAGTATCCCCAGTCACAATTAAACATATGATAGACCCACTCTATCAGCCACTACTCGATAAGTACCCTGGGATACAGCAAACGCAACCGAGATTACCGTGTGTAACCAGCAATGTTACACATCACATCACGACTACAGGACCACCTGTATTTTCTAAAGCACGACGACTAGCTCCCGAAAAGCTAAGGTTAGCGAAAAACGAATTCGATCACATGATAGACTTAGGGATCATACGACCGTCAAGTAGCCCATATGCATCTCCGTTGCACATAATCCCTAAAAAGAATAGCAACGATTGGCGTCCAACTGGTGACTATCGGCGATTGAACGCGAAAACCATTCTCGATAGTTACCCGTTGCCTCACATTCACGATTTGACAGCTACTTTGAAAGGTACAACTGTCTTTCCGAAAATCGACTTTTTTAAAGCGTATAACCAAATGCCTATGGCTACTGACGACATACAGAAAACAGCCATCATAACTCCCTTCGGACTCTATGAATTTTTGCGAATGCCTTTCGGTCTAAGGAATGCTGCTCAAACATTCCAAAGATTTATAGACGACGTTTTTCGAGGTCTCAACTTCGTACACGCGTATGTTGACGACTGTCTAATCGCAAGTCCGGACAGAGAAACACATCTCAAGCACCTGGATCTCGTTTTCGAACGACTACAAAAACATGGCATTACTGTAAACGTTCAGAAATGCCAATTCGGAACCGACTCAGTAGACTTTCTGGGACACACTATCGATGCTCAAGGTATCCGACCCCTAAGAACCAAAGTGGCGGCCATTCTGGATTACCCAGAACCGACCACCGTCAAGCAATTACGCACGTTTAACGGCCTGGTAAGTTTCCATTAACGTTTCATATCGAAATGCGCATCGCTTATGAAGCCTCTGACCGACCAACTTCGTGGAAATGCGGAATCCATTAATTTGGACGACACCGCACGAAAAGCATTCTCCACAGTTAAGGAACTGATAGCTAAAGCAACAATGCTCGCACATCGGGACACCGAAGCACCCATTAGTATCGCAGTAGACGCATCCGACTCGGCAATCGGAGGAGTCTTACAACAATGGGTTAACAACTCCTTGCAACTCTAGACGGTTGCTAGACACCGAATCGAGGTACAGCACATTCGGTAGGGAACTCCTAGCTATGTATTGTGCTGTACGGCATTTTCAACACTACAGCGAAGGTCATGAATTCACTCTTTTCACGGACCATAAACCGCTCACTTTCTCGTTAAGCTCTCCTTCAGACAAGTACTCTCCCCGTGAGTCTCGACAAGTGGACTACATTTCGCAGTTTACTTCAGACATTCAACACATCTCTGGAGCAAACAATGTAGTCGCAGATGCCTTATCTCGCATAAATTCCTTGAACAGTTTCCAAGGAATCGACCTTCTTAAACTCGCCCAGCTTCAAAAAGAAGACACTGATCGTCAGCACGAGTTATCGTCTACAACACTCAAGCTTCGCATCAAACAGATGGGAACAGGTAAGGAAACCTTACTTTGTGACACATCTACAGGTAGGGATCGCCCAATCGTGCCGAAATATTATCGACGCAACGTCTTCAATACGTTGCACAAACTTTCTCATCTAGGTGTTCGTGCAACCATCAAGCTTATAGCAGAACGTTTTTGCTGGCCTGGCATGAATAAAGACGTGAGGGAGTGAGCACGCTCTTGTGTAAGCTGCCAAAAATCCAAGGTTATCAGACACAATAAATCCCCCTTAGGCTCGTTTAAAACTCCCGATGCTCGTTTCGACCATGTTCATCTGGATTTGGTAGGACCTTTACCAGATTCAAATGGATACTCTTATCTCTTAACCTGCGTAGACCGTTTCACTCGATGGCCAGAAGCAGTACCTATCAAGGACATCACTGCTGAGACAGTGGCCCGCACATTCGTCGAACGATGGGTAGCAAACTTCGGCTGCCCTTCAACCATCACTACAGACCGCGGACGTCAGTTTGAATCTGAACTTTTCCGTCGTCTGACCACACTTTTAGGAATCACTCGATTCCGAACGACCGCCTACCATCCACAAGCGAACGGGTTGGTAGAACGTTTTCACCGACAACTAAAAGCTTCACTATCAGCTGCAAACGTTTCACAGTGTACCGACGCTCTTCCACTTGTCTTACTAGGTATCCGCAATGCAGTGAAAGCTGACATTGGATACACTGCGGCTCAACTCGTTTATGGAACGACACTTCGACTTCCAGGAGAATTCGTGGATCCTTCATCTATTTCAATGAACATGGATCTAACCTCCTACACGAACAGGCTTACAAACGCAATGCGTTCAGTTAAACCTGCTTCCACTCGACCTCAATCAACTGATGTTTTCGTTTAGATCTGTAGCGGTAAATAAATCCCCAAAATAAATAGCTCTGTAAGTTTTCGACATTGGATCCTGACCATATGTTTTAGTGGACCCATCTAGCTGAAGGCGCTCGGTCAGGCATCCGCACCAGATCAAGTGTGGTAACGCCGCGCTCAACATCAACCGCAATCGCTAGCCAGATTAGATCACAGAATTCCGATATATTGGTCATCGCCAAATATACTCTTCCGATCTCCTCGACTCTGTCTTTTAATTTCTCTGGGTGGGAACGAAATATATTAGGTGTTACTGGTAGAAGCGTTGTCAAACACTGAATACCTGTGACATCGTCAAGTTCTTTGGCCTTCCTCTTTTCTCCGCTTAATTTCAGGATTCCAAGTCAGGGCTTGCCTCATGATGCAGTTTGATGATTCGCGTAACATATGTCCTATCCATTTCCATCGTCTTTTCTGAATTTCCTCTTCAGCTGGAAGCTGGTTTGTTCTCTCCCACAGTAGTAGGTTGTTTCTGATGGTATCCGGCCAATGGACATTGAGTATCTTTCGTAGACAAGTATTTATAAATATTTGTACCTTCTTGATGATGGTTGTAGTAGTTCTCCAAGTTTCAGCTCCGTACAGTAGAACTGCCTTGACGTTCGTATTGAAGATCCTGACTTTGATATTGATTGACAGTTGTTTTGAGTTTCGTATGTTCTTCAACTATAGGAATGCGACCCTTGCTTTGCCGATCCTCGCCTTTACGTCTGCATCTGATCCTCCTTGCTCATCGATGATGCTTCCCAGGTATGTGAAGGATTCTACATCTTCCAGAGTTTCGCCATCAAGAGTGATTGGATTGCTGTTCCCTGTTTTGAATTCGAGGACCTTGGTTTTCCCCTTGTGTATGTTGAGGCTTACTGATGGAGAGACTTGTTGAATTATGGTCTACTATGATATTAGTACTGCTCTAATAATAGACCTAATCCTAAATTTGTAGATTCGTCATGATATAACTGCCTAATCTTTAAGATCTTACGTGGAAGTCACACCATCGACTACGCCAACTCACTGTATCGTATCAATTACCAATACATGATGAAGAACCAGCTTAGTTTAGAGAAGGAACAATATATTTAATATGAATAGAGACCACGCCTGCATGGCCGAGCCATGCCACTCGATCAACTCCAGACCATTCAATTCATTCTTCGCGCCTTCTCCATTGTTAGGTATTTCCCCGAGTTAAATATTGAATATCTATTTCCTGAGTAGTCTCGTGTTCACAGCTTTGTGGATTGTGTGGCTATTGTCCAATGCCACTACACTACTCTCCCACCAGAATCAACGTGATGTTGGTTCGATACCAAATTGGATGGGATCGTCGCGCGCCGGAGGTTACCAAGGATAATAAAGATCCTCCGGGTATTGATAAGCTGAAAGATAAATCAAAAAGAAGGCGGCAGCATCTGGTCGGGAAATACATGTAATAATTTTAAAATATCTGCCTTCATGCTTA